GAACCACACGGCATAAATAGTAGAGGGTAAGAAATTAGACACTGGATTATAAGATTGCAAGCTCTTTAATTAGAGGCATTATCAACCTATTGTTCCTGTAACATTTTCTAATTGTCTTATTTATAATATAATATTATAAAGAGCTGCAGAATAAGTTGGCGCTATATAAATGTCATAATAATAATATGAGAGACAAAGGAGAGTATGATATGGAAACTAGGAACCAAAAGAATTGCAAAAAAAAGGAGAATGACAAACTGGATACTTGAAGATATAATGGACCAAAATAGGAGACAGGAATGGAACAACAATTGCAAACATTGTGTTTAATAATTAAATAAATATAAAAAGAAAGCAGCGTAGGAGGAGAAGGAAAGACGAACGTAGTAAAACCCTAAAAGAAAGTGAATAAACTATTTGCCATCTACATTTACTCAAAAGTGCTAAACCCCCTTCTTTACACATACAGGTCACAGTTTGCTTATTATCACATCCATGTATATCCGTCACGTAATTCCATGCTCCAACTAACATCCTCAACATCAGATTACAAATGCCACAGCTGCAAAACTATGCTTAAAGGGATTCTATAGAGTTAACAATACAAAATTGTATTTCCAACAATATAGTGCCCTCTGGTTCCCCCCTCCCATGGAACATGAAGGGTTAAAACCCTTTATTTACTCCCTCGATTCCAGCGCCAATGACTTCAGCGTTGGGTTGGCTCTCCTCCTCCTCCGATGTCATCCAGTGGGGGGACCTAATGTACATAAGCAGCACGCACTGTTAGCAAATTAGGCCCTCCCCATAGGAAAGCATTGCCTCAGTGCTTTCCTATGGGGATATTACTGATCCTGGATGTCCTCATGCAGAGCCTAGAGTCCGGAAAACTCCCGGAAAAATTCCCGGAAGCGCCCTTAGTGGCTGTCTGGTAGACAACTACCTCTAGTAACTAGAGGCTGTCTTAGTGCTGCAATGTAAACATTGCAGGACTAAGTGGGACAGGGAAACTGCACCCAGACCACTTCCATGAAATGAAGTCATCTTGGTGTCCCTTGAAGTTATGTTTTGTATTTTATTCCTGTTTGATTATTATTGGAGAAGTTTATTCAGCTAAACTTTACCTGGTAGTGAATTAAAATCCAAAAGTCAAACTTGAGGCTATAATATCCTGGGACTGTGGGTGAGTTTGAGAATTGCTTCGACCTTGTCTATCCTTCTCTTAATGTTGCCATTCTGGTCTTAAATTTGCCACAATTTGGAGTTTTACACAGCAATGGAGAGTTCTCTCTGGGTAGGGTGCTATTAACACCTCTCTCTTAGGTCATTAGAAACTGAAACTGAATACAGCCGCTAGAAACTGAAATATAGCCTCTAAACGTGCTCATATTAAAAATACACTATTAAATTAACAAAGGAAACACAAGAAATAACCATTTAGAAGCTCAGCCCTCGTGTGCAAAAAGTAACCCGATAAAACTTAACTTTTAATATAATTATTTAAAATATTTAAAATACTTGATCGCAGATACAATGAAACCAATTATTGTCTATAATAGGAAAAAAAGTCCTACACAAATAAAGTAAATGTTATATATAATAAATAAACAATCTTTTTACGAGATCTTTTTACAGCCTCTTTGATTTCATTAGGATACTTAGACATACACCGGAGAAGAGGTGGGGGTATTAATGTTTTTTAAGGGGTGCCCTCGAAGGCACAACAGAGTAGGGAAGTTTAACATCTACCCTGCAGGGTGTTTCCTTGCTCTACAATATCTGCTATTTAGTTTTGACTCTCCCCTCCAGGCTAATTAGTTATGAAACAAATTTAACTCTTTTTCGTTTTGGTTATTTTACCTTCAGTTCACATTATTTCCACACACTGCAATTACACTAATTTATCACTGAGTTACAGTGAATGGTATCTGACATGTTCATTTATTATTTCTAATTTTGTTTAATAATATTATTTCACTTAGATTGTTTATTTATTATATATAACATTTACTTTATTTCTGTAGGACTTTTTTTTCCCTATTATAGACGATAATTGGTTTCATTGTATCTGCGATCAAGTATTTTAAATAATTATATTAAAAGTTAAGTTTTATCGGGTTACTCTTTGCACACAAGGGCTGATCTTTTAAATGGTTAGTTCTTTTGTTTTCTTTGTTAATAGTGTATTCATTCTGGGGGTAACCCCCCTATTGGAGAAACTTGACACTTTCTCCCTAGAAGGTTTCATTTGAATAATCTTTCATATTAAAAATATCCTCACACAACTATGACTGCAGGGGAAGATTCCTAAAAGTTTGGTGAAATTCTTTAACTCTGTCAATTATTTTGATCTCTTGTTTTTTGTACCCTATCATTTTATTTTTCATACATTTTTTTCACTCACACAAAGGATTAATTTATTTTTCTGCTACTTTTACCACTACTGTAAATGTTTCTGAAACAAATTGTCAACATTTAGTATAAAGAAAATCATATATATTTTAGATCACTTTAATAAATATGATTAAAATAATGAAAGTTATTTGTTTAGCCATCATTTTTCAAAACACTTTGATAAATATCGCCCAGCACATCAGTATCCACATTAAATCTAGAAATATTAATTCCATGTTTGGGATATGATACTCAATGGCGGATCCAGAGCCTGATCTTAGGAGGGGCACTTGTAAATTATGTAAATAAATAATCCAGACACAATAACCACTACAGCTCAGTGTAGTGGTTATGGTGCCAATAGTGCCTGGACCCCCTCCCAGAGTAAGTAGTCAAGCTGTTTAAGAACAGTTTGACAACTTACCTGAGGTCTGCTGGGAAATGGGTCTGTAGTAGGGCACAGGAGCAGTGGTGTGTGTGAGTGGTGCATTGTGTGAGGGGTGCAGTTTGTGTGTGTATGTGTGTATGTGTGTGTGAGGGGGACAGTGTGTGAGCAGTGTGTGTGTGTGAAGGTTGCAGTGTGAGAGTGAGGGCGGCAGTGTATGTCAGGGGTGCAGTGTGTGTGTGTTAGGGAGCAGTGTATGTGTGGGTCCGTATGTGTGTGTGACAGTTGCAGTGTGTGTGTGTATGTGTGTGTGGATTGCAGTGTATATGTGTATGGGGGCAGTGTATGTGTAGGGCAATGTGTGTATGGGGGGCAGTGTATGTGTGTGGGGGGGCAATGTGTGTATGGGGCAATGTGTGTATGGGGGCAATGTGTGTGTAGGCAGTGTATGTGTGTGGGGGACAGTGTGTGTGTGGTGGGCAGTGTATGTGTGGGGGCAGTGGGTGTATGTGAGGCAGTGTATGTGTGGGAGGGGGAGGGGCAATGTGTGTGTGTAGGGTGTGAGTGTGTGTGATAAGAAGGGTAGGGGGCTTTTTTAATAATTATGTCCCCCTCCCTTCTTACCTTTATTGAGGAGGAGGGGGGACATTTCAGAATCCCTGGTGGTCTGGTGGGGAGTCCCTGGTGGTCCCAGTGGTGGTGAGAGTGAACTCTAGCACGCGCTCATGGGCTAGAGTTCACTCTTGCGAGATTTGGAGCGTTGCCATGGTAACCGCGGCAACGCTCTGTGCTCACGAGAGGAGGCCCCGGAGGAGCTGCAGGCTGAGCTCCCGGGTCCTCTCTCCCTCCCCTGCCAGCACAGTGCCCAGTCCCAGTCCGTGAAGGCACATTACAGGGCTGGCAGGGGAGAGGGATTGTCCTGTTAATTGGTTTGACAACTTACATGCTTATCGCTGGTCACAGCTGGAGCTCCTGCCAGGAGCTTCTGTTAGCTCCCATATTCTAAGCCCTGTAATGCAGGGCCAACTCATTAGCTGAGAGTTTTAGCTTCGACTTAGCACTGCACGACTTAGCTCAATGCAGAGAGCTCTAGTTGTCCATAGAGGAGGTGACCAGAGCCTGGCAGATACAGGTAAGTTGTCAAACCATTTATAAACGGTTCAACTACTTGCCATAACAGGGTACCCGGGCACTCCTGGCACCATAACCACTACAGTGTGCTGTACTGGCAATGGTGCTTCGGGTGTTTTTTTAAAGTGTAAGATAAACTCAAGTGAATCTAATAGAAAATAATTATATTGTATGCAAATCTAATAGAAGAAAAGAAAAAAAATTCTCATGCACAAATATTGACATTTCACGCTGGAAATGAGTCTAAACCAGAGAGCTTCTCCTCCCAGCAGGCTTTACAAAATATTGGAAACCTTTTATTATTTGGTATGTTATTAATTTTATTATTATGTTATTATTTATATAGCGCCAACAAATTCCGCAGCGCTTTACAGTGGGTGGATGAACAGACATGTAGTTGTGACCATTTACAGTGTATGTTGCTCACACAGATACACACGGTCTCTCACACACCTACAAAAATATTTAAATCCAGCTTTGACCTCCAATTAGGAGATCGTCACTTTGTCTAGGGATCCGTTTTCTCTTCTAATTAACTCCTTTCAAGCAGAGGTTTATGGAGTAGGTTGTCACATAGGGCGAGTAGTCTGTATCTTCTATATATTTTATTGTGCTAAACCACTTTGTTTATACTTCCCTACTGAGTTGTATAAATCATATCTTGTTATGATCTAAATACACACAGCTCCAACTAATGTTATATTGCTTACACTGTCCATGTACTCTCATTGCTGATATACACAGCATTAATATATATATGTCATGTTCTATTGTTCCCTTTAAGATAATGTAACAGAGAAAATCAAGCTATTTTGTTTCCAAATACGTGATGTAGGTATACGTTTATATCCGTTTGTCTGTAATGACTCTCTTAGCAATTCACACATGTTTGGGCGTGGCTAAATGAATACATACTGCCCTATATAATAAACACATATAACAATATAACAATTCCCCATGGTGCAATGTTGCAATAAACGTATCATACAGATAGGAAAGTATTTCCCGCGCTGGAATGATCTCCAGTTAATAATGTACATTCTTATCAATGAATTTGGCGGTAGACCGTCTACAGCACACACGTGGGAGTCAGTAACAATGTGTGCACAGAGCAGTTTGCTGGCTATTCTCCTATGGCTGCAAGTCACTGACAGCTCAGGTAAGTGATTCACCTCCTGTTACATTGTGTTAATAATTCTACTTACCTGCAATCCTGTATGATACCGAGCACAGAGGGGCAGCCAGGCTAGCCGGGGTGGGTGAGATTAATGGGAGTTTAAACTTTAGAACATTTATATCTGTTGCTGGAATGATGTAATTACATTCCAACATTCTGAAAGAGCTGACACTGAGGATTTATTTACTAAAGAGCGATCTGTGCAGAATGTAAGAGATTAACCCTTTGTGTGCTGCTGGTATAACTGGCTCCCTCACCCATGGTTTCAGGGTTCAGGGAGGTAGGTGGCAGAATGCCCATCACTCACTCTAACTGCTGCCATGCCGCTACTGGGATAATAAAGGGTCACTACAGGTGGAACAATGTATCAGAGAAAACATCAGTCAGCGATTTAAACCTTTACAAAACAGTTTGACTTTGCACCATAACCACTACAGTGTGCTCTACTAGTTCTTCCGCTTGGAGTGTTCCTTTAAATGTACTCATTGTTTTAATGTCCACAGATCGTATGCATTATAAAAGAATGCAACATTATAGCCTTTAGTGTTTTTTAATTGATTTAGGAGTTATTAACCCCTTAAGGACCGGACTGTTTTTGCGATGTTGTACATTTGCGACAAGGAATATTTTTACACTTTTCTGGTGTTTGTGTTTAGCTGTAATTTTCCGCTCTCTCGTTTACTGTTCCCATACAAATTATATATTGGTTTTTTTCAGGACAAAAGGGGCTTTCTTTACATACCATTATTTATATAATCTCATGTATTTTAATTTAAAAAAAAAAAATGATGAAAAATTGAAAAAAATACATGTTTTTTGACTTTTACTTGAAAAATCTTTTACTCATCTACAAAAGCGAATGGGGAAAAAAACAGCTAAATAGATTCAAAATTTTGTCCTGAGTTTAAAAATGTTTACGTGCTTTTTTTGCTTTTTTTTGCAAATTATAGGGCTATAGGTACAAGTAGGATATGGCGGTTTCAAAACAAACATTTTTAAAATGTATCAATAGTGACATTGTAACACTATTATCTGTCATAAATCTCTGGAAAACACTCCACATGTATATATATATTTTTTAAAGTAGACAACCCATCTAAGGATATTTTGACACTTTCTATGCAGCCATTTTACGACAAGTCTTTGCCAAACTTTGCATAGGTAGTTGTTTTTTGTTGTTGTTTTTTTTCACATACATTGCAATTCAGGTATAAACTTACAGATCCTGTTATGTCTTGCTGCCAAAAAACACACTAATATATGTTCAGCAATATCTCCCGAGTACAGTGATACCACCCATGCATAGGCTTGTCGGATTGTTTGGGGGCTAAAAGGCCACATTTGGCAGGTGCGCATATCCATTTTTCAACTTGGAATTTTGACATGTAGTCAACCTGCGCACATGTCCTATTTGGGACATTTGTAAGGCCGGCCAATGTATTTTACCCCCACCAAACCATATATTTTTGGAAAGTAGACACCCTAGGGTATTTCAAATGGAGTTTTTTTTTTTAACACTTTCCAGGCACTAATTCTACCACCAGACTTTGTCAAACATTTAGGTAGTCATTTTTTGTGGTTTTTTTTTTTTTCCACACACATTGTACTTTAGGCATGAATTAACAAATCGTGTTATGTGTCACTGCCAAACAACACCCCAATATGTGTTCAGCAACATCTCCTGAGTACAGTGATACCACCCATGCATAGGCTTGTCGGATTGTTTGGGGGCTAAAAGGCCACATTTGGCAGGTGCACATATCCATTTTTCAACTTGGAATTTTGACATGTAGTAAACCAGCGCCCCTGTCCTATTTGGGCCAATGTATTTTACCCCCATCAAACCATATATTTTTGAAAAGTAGACAACTCAGGGTATTTTAAATGGTGGTAGTTTAATACTTTTCATGCAATAATTCTACCACCAGCCTTTGGCAAACTTTTGGGTAGTAATTTTCTTCATGTTTTTTTACACATACATTGTACTTTAGGCATGAATTAACAGATCCTGTTATGTATCACTGCCAAACAACACCCCAATATGTGTTCAGCAACATCTCCTGAGTACAGTGACATCACCCATGCATAGGTTTGCTGGGTTGTTTGGGGGCTAAAAGGCCACAATCAAGACTTGTACATATCAGTTTTTCAACTTGATATATAGGTATGCTTGGCCTATCTTCAGTTTGGCATATTTTTGCATCCCCCACCCGTTAATGTTAACATCATGAAAGTTTATATTTTTATAAAGTATACATTCCAGAGTATTGTATATGAGGTGTTTTCACATCCTTCCCCCAACCATTGTGCTAAACAAATTTCAGAGAACGTGCATGGTGGTAATTTTTGAATTCTGCTTTTTATGCACACATCATCTGGTTTTGGCCAGCCATTTATGTTACTACCATAAAATTTTTTTAACCAAATGTGCATGTATCAAATGCACCTTTAGCAGCATTCTCTAAACTAACTCCTGCAAAAAGAATCTAATTGGAGATTTGGGGGGAAGGAAACTGACTGACTAAAATTTGCTGCTTTCAAAAGAAAAAAAAAACAGTGCAAAGGGGTGTCTGTCCTTTTCCCTTTTTTATAACAGACCCAGCAACATTTCAGGGGATTTGTTTTTTTTTGTTTTTTGCAGTTGGCGGTATCTTAAAAATAAAATGTCTGGACTCCTTTGGCACCGTTGTTGGAACTTGACCATCTCCATAAATTATTGTGGAAATCAGCTTGAACTAAAATTGGAGAAAGGTGGTTCTTTCTGGATTCATTTTTTTTTAAAGAGTAAAAATTAATTATGTGTTGCTACTTGCATCAGGTAGATAGCCACCTTTTTATACCAGGCTTTTGTCTTTCTTAAGATAAGATATGGCTGCATGAGCTGATCAGCCAAATCAACACCCCCATGTGCATTTTATAAGCCCTGATGCAAACAGGTTTGGTCTGTACTCTGCCTCGGACAGTGACGTCTGACATGCTTTCGTCATGGATGGTGGTTAGTATATTAACATCCTTCCTGTCCTTACATTTTATTGCAAGCACTTTAGCTTTGTGCAGACCTTTACATTCACTTTTTTTTTTTATTTGGCCTCTATAAAAAGTCTGGGGAAATCCTTGGCATATTTTCTCACACTGCCACAGGCCAGTATCTAGAAACCCTAAAGAGTTTGAAACAAACGGACAATGCTATAAAAATTGTCCACATAAAGGTGGTAACCCTTATTGAACAAGGGGATCAGTAAGTCAAAAACAAGTTTCCCGCTTGTCCCCAGAGAGTCAGTACAGCCAGGAGGGTCCAGTTGACCATCTTTCCCCTCATATATACGAAAGGCAAATGTATAGCCACTTTCGCTCTCGCACAGTTTGTAGAATTTTACGCCATACCTAAAGCGCTTTGAGAGGATGTATTGTTTGAATCCTAATCTCCCTTTATATTTCATTAACGATTCATCAATAGATACATTTTTTTGAGGAGTATAAACTTCAGTAAATTTGTGCTGCAGATGGTCTACCAGTGGGTGTATTTTATGAAGCCTATCATATTGGGTGTGATCTCTGGGGTGACAGAGGGTATTGTCATTGAAATGTAAGTATCTCAGCAGCAGCTCAAATCTTGTTCTAGACATGGTTTGAGAGTACACTGGACTAGAACAGATTGGGTTGGTGCTCCAGTAAGAGCAAATTGATGGCTTCTTTATAATCCCCATGAGAATTGTAAGAGCCCAGAATGTTTTAAGTTCATGGACATCTGTGGGATGCCAAGCATGCTCCCTGACTGTATAGCTACCTGGATTGGTCTCAATAAATTGGCTAGCGTATAAATTAGTCTGGGAAGCAATCTCCTCCCAGATGGTATCCCCTAAAAATAACTCCATATATTGTATAGGGGAGAAGTCAACCACATTCACATTAATGCCTGCGTTGGCACTAAAAGGGGGGATGTTGGGCTCAGCTAACTGTGGAGGTACCCAGTCCTCCTCCACATTCAGCGTAGCAGGGGAAGCACAGCTTCTTTTAGCAGCTGGCTCACACACAGATGACATGTCACTAGACGTGCCGCTAAACTGACCTGGGTCAAAATCGGACGCAGTGTCAGTGGCGTCAGAGTCTGACGCCAAGAAGGCATATGCCTCCTCCAAGCTGTACATGCGCTGCATGTTTCACACTAACAGACTAAACTAACAAAATACTAAACACAATATTTTTTTATTTTTTTTATTAACACTAAAACAGACTAAAACAGACTAAAACAGTAATCCCTAAACTAACTCCTGTTAGAAGAATCTAATGGAGATTTGGGGGAAGGAAACTGACAGACTACGACAGACTACGACAGTCTAAGACACAGATTTTTTAAAATAAAGTTAACCATTAAGGGCAAAAAAAAAATACAGACTGTACAAATGCACTGTCTGTAACAGATCTGGCAGGGAAGGGGTTAAAATTGTATTTTTATTCACTGCAGATACTTTTTACAACTCTCTGGAACAGCTGCTGCAACAAACTATCACGATCTCTGTCTCTCTCCTCTCACAAAACGCCACAGAGGGGAGAGAGGCAGAGATCAGTGTCAAAGTGAGTGTTTGTAACACCCACTTTGACACCAGCCAATTGTGAGCTCACAGCCGTAATTGGCTGTTACTATCTGCCTGGGATGCCAGGCAGATAGTAACAACGGGATTTCGGCGGAAGCGATCTCTGATCGCTCCCGCCGCCCGTTTTCCGTTAGGATGGTTCAGGACCGTCCTCGGTCGGCAACGCAAAAATGCCGAGGACAGTCCTGAACCGTCATGCGTCATGAAGGGGTTAAATTAATGCTCACTCCAGCTAGTGCAGTCACTGCTGCTGTGGGATCGTAGCCCCTCCTTCCCTCCATTGCTGTATTGTCGGCATCAGTGACACATATCACTGCAAGTCCAGTTCTCCTATAGCAAGCGCAAGGTGTAATCATCACTACTGATATGAACCTCCGGATCTCCCCCCTCCATTTCTGCTAACTCAATGTATGTAAGATGACAGGTACACTTTAAAGGAGCATGGGGTTTGAATGTTGCATTATTCAATGATACTGATACATTATTCAATATTATTCATTATTCAAGTTCAATTTAAAGATTGAGATACAATTATTTAACCCCTTAAGGACTGGACTGTTTTTGCGATGTTGTACATTTGCGACCAGGCATATTTTTACACTTTTGTGGTGTTTGTGTTTGGCTGGAATTTTCCGCTCTCTCATTTACTGTTCCCATACAAATTATATATTGTTTTTTTCAGGACAAAAGGGGCTTTCTTTACATACCATTATTTATATAATCTCATGTATTTTAATTTTAAAAAAATAAAAAAATATGATGAAAAATTTAAAAAAATACATGTTTTTTGACTTTTACTTGAAAAATCTTTTACTCATCTACAAAAGCGAATTAAAAAAACTGCTAAATAGATTCAAACTTTTGTCCTGAGTTTAAAAATACCCCGTGTTTACATGCTTTTTTTTGCATGTTATAGGGCTATAGGTACAAGTAGAATATTGCGGTTTCAAAACATAAATTTTTTAAATTTATCAATAGTGACATTGTAAGACTATTATCTGTCATAAATCTCTGAATAACACCCCACATGTACATATTTTTTTTAAAGTAGACAACCCAGGGTATTCAATATGGGGTATGTCCAGTCTTTTTTAGTAGCCACTTAGTCGAAAACACTGGCCAAAGTAAGAATTCATATTTGTTTGTGTGTGAAAAAAGTAAAAAAACTAAATTGAACGCTAATTTTGGCCAGTGTTTGTGACCAAGTGGTTACTAAAAAAGACTGGACATACCCCATTTGCAATACCTTTTCAATGTAAAAATATTTGACCCATATATTTGACCTTGTAACTTTCAAAAATACTATAAAACCTGTACATGGGGGGTACTGTTTTACTCAGGAGACTTTGCTGAACACAAATATTAGTGTTTAAAAACTGGAAAACGTATCACAACAATTATATCATCAGTAAAAGTGCTGTTTGTGTGTGAAAAATGCAAAAAAAGTCACTTTCACTGACAATATCATCGCTGTGATATGTTTTACTGTTTTGAATCACTAATATTTGTGTTCAGCGAAGTCTCCCGAGTAAAACAGTACCCCCCATGTACAGGTTTTAGGGTGTCGTAGAACGTTACAGGGTAAAATACAGTGCTAGCAAATTCAATTCTCTGGAATTTCGGCCTGGGTTGGCAGGCAGGTCCCTTAAATTGCAATCAATAAAATTACTGAATTATGTAAAACTATTACATAAATACGCACGTAGAATTTAAATATATATGCATATTTATATATTTGAAGTCTACGTGTATATTTATATAATTATTTATGTAATTTTGTATATGGACATATGTATATTTCTTATTATTTTTATTTATTTTTATATACATAGATATATATATACAAATTCATTCTAAGTGTATTTTGATATAAAAATATATATATTAATTTTAAAATACAGTTAGAATAAAATTTCATATAGATATATAATTTTTTGTAATTTTATTATTGTTTAAAAAATTTTTTATTTAATTTAAATTACTTATTATTTATATTTTATAATAATATATATATATATACAATATATATAGTTATTATATATATTATATATATATACGTGTGTAATTTAATTATAAGTGTATTTTTATATTAATATCAGTACATATTAATATAAAAATACACTTAGTATGGCATTATATAGATGATATATAGACATATATTATATAGATATATTATATGTCTATATATCATATATACACCTATATAATTATTTTTTTTTTTTATTACCATTAACTTTATTTTTATTTTTGATTTTACACATGCAGGGAGACTGCCTGTCAGCACAGACAGTCCCCCTGCAGGCAGCACTATGGACACCTATTGTGACCATGTGATCGCTGTGTTAAGCGATCACATGGCCACAGGGGTCCTAAATCAGTGTGGGGAGACTGTCTGGGCTGCAGGCAGTCTCCCCACAACCGGAAGAACACTGATCGCCGCCGGGGGAACGACGGCGATCAGGTAAGTACCCCCAGACCGTTAGGACGGTTCAGGACCGTCATCGGTCCTCAAGGCAAAAATGCCGATGACGGTCCTGAACCGTCCTCGGTCGCTAAGGGGTTAAGGTTAATTACATCTGTTTGAAAGTGAAACCAGTTTTTTTTTCATGCAGGCTCTGTCAATCATAGCCAGGGGAGGTGTGGCTAGGGCTGCATAAACAGAAACAAAGTGATTTAACTCCTAAATGACAGTGAATTGAGCGGTGAAATTGCAGGGGGATGATCTATACACTAAAACTGCTTTATTTAGCTAAAGTAATTTAGGTGACTATAGTGGCAATAGTGATAGGATGTCAATGTAATCCCCTTTACATATTCTATCTTTTATGGATTTAATCAAATGAAAACCTAATGGAGAAATTTCCTCACCTAATGTTTCCTCATACATGTTTCCTTCACCCTGACATTTTGGCCTAACTGCGCTCACTTCCTTACATTGGTATTTGGAATCCTGGTACTCTTGCTAGGCTAGGTGTCTGCAATAACATAATAATTTTCTCAAAAGATACCACATCACCTAAAACAGCATTATTCACAGTTTTTTGTGACTCAGCAAGCTTGTTCTTCTTTGTTTCACTTTTCTGCATCTTCTTGCTTCTTATTGGAAATGGGGAAAATGTCTCCCTGGATCTCTTTGTCTTCATTGTTAGATGATTACAGCTTGTGCCATCCTCCATTGCAAACTCCTCCTGCAGTTCAACTCATCATCTTTGTGGTGGAACCAACCTCGCCACTATGCACTGGAGGAGCCTGGTTGCTCGCCTGCTGCCTTTAGACTATGGCCCCATGTTAAAGCTTGATTTTCCCCTGCGAAGACACGAAAGCCGGGTCATTCGGTGCTGGCACTGTTTGAGCGGTGATACCCCAGATAGCTATGCCATGGAGCCCATTCCTATTATGAAAGACTATGGGAAGGACTTTGGCTCCATGGCGATTGAACTGTTTGTGTGTGCTCTGAGCGCCATTCAGTAATAATGGGCGCTCAGATCTGAGCTATCTGGGGATATGCTGAATGTACCTGTTTTGTGCAATGGCTGCACAGTTATATATTTTTATGTGTTTTATTGTCTTTTGCTGCCATATGTTCAATGGAGTTTTGCCTCTGTCCTTGGAGATAATTGGATTACTTCCCAATTATCTCCAGGACAGAAGACTCTGTGGAACTGGTTTTGGGCAGAAAAGCCATGCTTCATTTGGTCACAAAGGACTTCAATCTATCATTTGAACCAATGGACCAATTTGGATGATTTTGACATATGTTTGTATTTGGAGTATGCTGATTCTGAAAATGTGATGCATACTTTTCAAGTTATGAATAATGTGGAAAAACTGCATTTCTCTGGTTGTGATAATTACATTACCCATTCGTGTAGTTTGCAGTTCGGGAGATTGGTGATTGCAGTAGCTGTCTGTGCATCTGAAAGGGGAATATCGCCTAAACGGTTTTTAACCTCTTGTGGGCAAAACGGTCCATTACAATCTTCTACCTCATTCAGACCAGAAGCAGCTGCAGCCCAATATACTTTTCAAGCAGCCAACCAGGCAGAGTCTGAGGTAAAACTTTGGCGTCCTTTTAATGCACGACTCCAATCAGGACATTGGCCCTGAGCACGAGCTAACGGCTAAACTAGCAGCTCATGCACCCTGCACTTAACCCCTCTCGCGCTGCTCCTAGCAAAAATTCAGCCGCTCTTTTCTTGCCCCATCAAACCCCATGAGACTGCTCTTTATATTTGTCCTCCTGAGTCAAATTCCAGAGCTGAAAAAACGCTTGCGCTGTGCTCCTGCACAGCAAAAGCATTTCAGCCAATCAGGTAATCTGGAGAGCCGTGCTGAGCGCGGGAGTCCTGATTACCTCAGATTCTTAAAATTACATCTTTGATGGAGGACCCCATATCTGTGCCTGCCACAGATTTAGTGGATGCCTCTCTTAAAAGCAGCCTCATCAATGTTAGAAAGCTATATAAGAGAGCTTTCCTTGCCAAGGATCTATCTTCTTCATCTTCTTAGGAGGGCATGGTCCCAGTTTTACATAAAAAGAATAGAGAAAGGTGGCTGGTCTCTTCTGCCAGTTCCTCGTCTGAGGATAATTTTTATGCTCCTCTTTCCCCTCATACTTATTTGAGTTAGCGCAAAATTAAGGGGACAGAATCCCAAAAGAGGAATAGTGTGTTTCCTTCGTTTGAGCACCAGAAACACCTTCCAGAGAAAAGGGACAAATCTCGCTGGAGATTAGATAGGCCTTTTCCTTCCTCTTCTAGAGCATTTGCGCATTCTTCCTCCCTTAACTATTCCAGTTCTAGATACGGCTCTCCGGAAATAGACTGGGAATCTGAGGAAGTGGTACATTCAGCAGCTTCCACTGAGTGAGGTAAACTTTGCAACGTTCAGATGGCTAGATTGAGTCGAATAGGAAAGACTCTCCCATCAAAATTATTTCACTCCAGATGGACTATGGAGCACAATTCTGAGGTTAGAGATTTTGGCAAACTAGCCATTAGATCCTGTTGGTTAAGGAGGATGACCTTCTCCTCGGGAACCACATTGGTATCCCGGACATCCAGGCTTTAATGGCTCCTGAGGTAGATCCTGCTCTGTTATCTATCACAAGGAGCAGTTTATCTACAGATCCCACAGACCAGACTTTTCGTAATATACAGTTTAAAATTACGGATGCTGTGGGCCCACTATTACTGATGCTGGATAAAGCAGAAAAAGAAGGAACTGCTCAGAAACCTTCTGCTTCATCTCTCCTGGTCTCTAAGATGGCTTTATTAAAAGAGTCCGGCAGGGCAGTGCTAATTATTGGCCAATCTTTAATTACATCTCAAACGTTCACAGAATACGCTGGCTCCACGCAGCAGTAATGTCTGACCTAGCTACTAAATCTCACGAGTTCCCAAATTTGGAAGATTCTTACCTTTTCAGTCCCTCATTCATTCAGCAGGTTAAAGGCCGATATAAAGCAAGGAGATATTTTTCAGAGATCATAAGTCCTTTCCTGGCTACCAGAAGCCTTTTCGGACAGAAGGTCGCCCCTATTTGTCTGCAGGAAGGTCCCGAGAAGCATCTCACCAGGCCCAGTACTGACACTACAGTGGAAAACACAAGCTCCCAGGTGGTAGTAGAGTAGCTCATTCCAGAGGAGGTCCAGCTTCCAAGAGAAAGCCTATGCATTGAAGTAAGTGTGCCTCCTCGCACGCCACTAAATTGGAAGGATATTTCTTTAGACAAATGGGTGGTAAAGATTTTTCAAAGGGGTTTACAACTCCCCCTTTTAAGGTTCCATGTTCACAGGTTTGCACACAGCAGATAGGTGAGCCCAGTGCTAGATGCTTCCCTTTCCCTAGCTGTAAATCAAGAGAGTATAGAGTTGGCAGACATGTCTATCACAGGATGGGTCAGTACGTTGTTTCCAATCCCAAAATCAGACGGTTCCTGGAGACCAGTTCTAAATGTGAGGTCTCTGAATGCTTTTACGAAGAGAAAAAGGTTCAGGATTTAGTGTTTATCAGATCTTCCAGGTTTAGTACAGGGAAAAAAAATTCTGCATAAAGTTAGACCTAAAAGGTACCTTCCATTCACTCCCTATAGCAAAGAAACACAGGCATTCCCTCAAGTTTCAGTGGAAAGGAAAGATTTGGTAGTGGACTGTTATTGGCCTTTCCAATTCACCATACACATTATCCAGAATAATGAAATCAGTGATAGCCCATATCAAACTAAAAGGTTACATATGTCTGTACTATCTAGACGACATCCTGCTCATGCACCCAGATGGGGAAGTCCATGCTTCTCAGAGAGACTATCTTGCTTCCCTTTTACAAGACCTAGGATTTGTAGTGAATTTACAGAAATCAATCCTTATTCCAACTCAAAGCATTCTCTTTCTGGGTTTTGTACTGAACACAAGGACTATGTCACTAGGAATCCCTCAGGTCAAATGGGACAAATTATTGGTACATCTGACCTCATCTCTTAAGCACCAGAGTTGGTCCTTGAGAGATCTGGCAAAGATTATTGGGAAATTAATAGCGTTAACACCAGCCTATGACGATTTCCCTTTACGTTGCAGAAGAAGTCAGCTGTTTTTTATTGTTTAAGACAGGGTGGCCATTGGGAATCAAAATTCTTTCTCCCCAAGAAGGTCAGAGAAGAGTTGAAGTCTATTCTGGGTTTAGAAATCCCACTTACTCGTCCCCTGTTAGAGCAGCCGTTTGTGGTTACTCTGACGTCAGATGCCTCAAATCACGGTTGGGGTGCATTTACAACCCAAAACGCGATAAGAGGAATCTGGTCAGACCAAGAGAGCCTCATTCATATAAACATCATGGAGTTAAGAGCAATAAAATTAGCTCTCCAGGGCCTAGTTCCTCTAAACCAGTTACATCGGTAAAAGTCCAATTGGACAAGAGGACAAAGGGGGCACAAGATCAAGGGATTTTTGTTTGCAGGCTCTAGATCTTTGGTCTTGGGCTTTATCAAACAAAGTTCGGGTTTACGCAGAATACGTTCTGGGAGAGGCGAACAAGCTCGCAGATTCTCTCTCTCGCCAGAGTTTGTCTCTGTCAACGGTTCAATTAAAGATTGCTCTATTCCAGTGGATAGAAAGCATTTTTGGCCAGAGACAAGTAGATCCCAAACTTCTTCACAAGATCCCAGGTTTGTCTCCAGGATTTGGATAAAGGGAGCTTGGAAAATGAATGCACTGTCTTTCCAATTGACAGATGTTCCAGTCCCTTATGCCTTTCCCCCTCCTTTACTGATGAAAGTGCTGGAGAAAATCTGCAGGGACAGGGTACAGAGTTTAGTTCGCATTTACCCAGTATGGACCTCCAGATCCTGGTACCCCTTGATCCATAAGTTAGTCAAGGGAACCAAGATCCCATTGGGCATGACTATGGACTGATTTCAGGGAACCAGCGATCTTTTGCTCACGCTTCCGCAGCTGATGTGGATCGCAGCCCTGGTAGGCTGTTATTGCATCCCCTTTTATAAGATCAGGTCCTGGACATCATTAATTTATCTTTAAGACTCAGAACTAGGGTAAGATATAGAAAGATTATTGAGAAATTCAAAGAATTGGAGGTTTATTTTCTATCTACTTCTCAGGGATCTGATACCATTCCATTGGCTTTAGAATTTCTGACCCTTAAGTTCCATTCTGGCTTAGCGGTCAGTACCATCAAGACCTATGGATCTGCTTTAAATTTCCTTATCCCTAACCTTACTAAGAATGCCCTGTATTTGAGATTACTAAAAGGGTTATCAGGCTGCCCATATACCTTATGTTATACATCTACTTGGGATGTAGACCTATTATTAAATTTCCTTAATTCTATAGATGGACTGTTTTTAAGTTGGTTTATCTGCTCTCTTTGGCCTTGGCACTAGAGGAGCTGAGTTAACTCATCTATATTTTAGAACTGTGGTTGTCCCGGACCCTGGGAGGGTTCCATATTATACTAAGAGGGGGACAAACAACTTCCCATATTTCTCCAGGTCCAGTGGAATTGGATTTGGTTCAAGATCCTTCTGAACCAGGCTTATGTTTAGTCAGTCTGTTACAATCCTACCTTGACTTTTCTGCTGCTGTCAGAAATGATATCAGTCAATTATTTATTACATCTTCCTTGTCGCCATGTCTTCGGCTGGTATTGATGTTTCTGTGTTCAAAGGCCACTCAATTAGGGGGGCCTCGGCTACTAAAGCTGCAACAAAGGGCCTTCCCCTCCCTATTATCTTAAAAGATGCAAGGTGCTTGTCCAGTAAAACCTTTGTTAGATTTTACTAGAGGCCATCAGACGTTGAACGCCTTAAGTTTCTTAGGACCACCACCAGGTGTGTGCTATTCTACCGACCCGCTTTGCTAGGTGGTTATGCCTCCCAGAGGACAAATCAGAGTTTGCAGGAATCTATGATATGCAAACTTTCTTTGTCCTCGGGTTGAGCATAACCACCTAGCAATAGCGCCTGTCCCACCCTCCCCACGTGTAAGGGTTTTACATGCTGGTGGTAGTTTGTTTTTCTTTACATAAGGTTATCTTGTCGTTATTCCGTCTATTTCTAACTGCTTTCTGTTTTTTACAGATTATAATCTTACTCCAAGACAAGACCAACAAACCAAGGATCCATCTAAGTAGGAAGATTGGATGCTAGTAGTATCTGCAATATAGAATTCTGATGTGCTCCATGCATAAAGGATCTGCTCTTAGAATCTTATTACAACATTTTATTTATCTTTACAGAACTTATTTTGTTGCAATTTACGATGTTCCAGTTTCAGTGTCTTTTTGATACTTTCTTAAGCTAATACATTGTTGCCTTGTTATCAGTTTAGCTGTGTGCATTATGCAAATGTTTTCAAGTCCATCTAATGTCTTTACGACTTATTAAATATTTTCTTGTTTCCCTTTACTATCGGGTTCTTGAATAATATTTTTGTTTAGATGTTTAAGTTTCTCTACCCTTTTTTTTTTTTTGTGGTATATTTTACCTGTCACGGGTGGCGGTGCTTAGACCGGGGCCCCTGTATGTCTGATGATGAAGATAGGAGTCACAGCGTGGAAATGGACTATCAGGGCCTGTTGCAGGGTAACAACACGCACCCTGGTGTTGTGCACCAGCGTTTGTGCGGCCACATACCAGGGCCCTGATGCAGGAGCTAGATGGTAATATGCAGACCTTCCAGGATCTGGATAGGGAGACTCTGCAGAAGAAATGTATTCAGTACTCGAAACAAGGCAACACTAAAACAGGCACCAAACAAGATAACAAGACAAGACTAGAAGAACCCAGAACCGGAGCAGGACAGAAAGCAGAACCCAGAACATGTACACGATACATGAGGGAAACATTAACAGGACATGGACAGGACAGGACTTATTTTTGGGAATACAAGACAAAATAAAACAAGACAAGAGGAGACATAACTAAGTACAATACATGTAATAAACATTGAAGATTTAGACATCCATAAATGGTCAAGATGTATGCAGCCCACCACTGCGCCAAAGTACTCCAATTACAGTGGGTCCTAACTGCCTAGATATGCATGACCACACATAGTACTTACCTGCAAAGAAAAGAGCTAAGGATATGAGACCACTGCTTGCAGGAACAGACTGAAACAAAAAAAGGATTAATGGCAAAGGAATGGGTGTGGCAAAAAAACAACAACAAGCATTTAAAGGAATCCTGGAGACTGGGAATTCCAGGAACGGAATAAAGGAATGAACCCAGAAAACCCAACATAAAGAAAACCAGACACAGAATAGAAAACCAGAAAAACCAAGAAAAACTAAACAAGAATTGTAAAAAGAGTACTGGATACCAGAAGCCAAGGTCAGACCTCTACACAGAATGGAACAGGTCGTGACATTACCCCTGTTTTGGGTAATATATATTCTCAGTACCTCATGGGATGAGCTAACCATCCTCAGTTTCCCAATATTAAAAATCTGTCGTAATCAGGATTCCCATGCTCAGCATGGCTCTCCTGATTACCTGATTGGCTGAAACGCTGTTGCTGTGCACAGCGCATGCGTTTTTCAGCTCTGACCTTTGACTCCAGGAGGTTGCTGCATACCCACTTGCTTTGTACCTAAGACAAAGAAAGTTTTCAAATCATAGATTCCTGCAAACTCTGATGTCTGCATGCCTTTCACTCTGCGTTGTGGGTCACAGAGTCAAGGTGCATAATAGTGTGATTGTGAATGCTTCTAATAAAGAGCTTGCAATTGTAGTTGGAATATTAAGGTTGAACATTGTAAGAAGGCACCAAATAACAATTTACATAGAATGGCATTTGTTGTGCGTCATCTTAACCATGAGCCATCGATAATCTCTGAGAGATATATAATACACATATCTAGGATTTGTAACAGAGGTCAGATCTTTGTTATATTTTACTGAAAGTCATATGCTCTTTTTACTAACTGTTTCTGCCTATTTTCCATATAATTTAAGTAAATCTACAACTTTTTGATTTATTATCCTGTTTGTCACTGTAACACCATGTCTCCACTTTACGGATTATAGCTGGTTTCAACATTGTTTTGAACATTATTAAGCAGTCAAGGTTGGTAGAATTCCATTTTATGTCAAACTGTTCCCAATCATACAGTAACGATGCAAGTACATTCTGCAGCTCTCTGATTTCTACGACCCTTTTCCATTAACCAATATATAATGTGTTATGTAAGAATCTCTAATAAGAATACCTGTTGTTTTTGCTTATTAATAGGGTCGCTGCCTGAAGTAAAATGTCGAAATGTAAATCCACCAGCATTGGGGGAGACAGCAACTCTAATATGTGAATTCTCATCGTCACTAGATGTCCTGCAAGTAACATGGCAGGTGGACAAAGATCAGAAACCACAAACCATTGCAACCTACAGCAAAAAGTATGGGGTGAAAATTGTGAACTCTATGGCTAACTATAATCTTATTAGTCACAAAGAATCGAACATATCAACCATCACTATCTCGGATTTGAAAAAGCAAGATGAAGCCTGTTATGTTTGTATCTTCAATGCATTTCCTCATGGAGCCTACAAAAGCGAGATTTGCCTGACGTTTCCCAATGAGTCAGGTACACACTCGCACTCAATTCCTCTTCTTTCTAAAACTTGTACCTTCCCAGGATTTTTAAAATGTTTACTTATCCCATATATTTAAAAAAATGTTTGAATAAACATTGTGGGGGCGTAATTGCCATCATGACACATAATGAAAGTTGGTGATTTTTTTTCAAATGTAACAGAGAACAGGGGAAAGGGGATAAGAGATAAAGAAATCAGTGAAAAATCGAGAACTGAAGAGGTGTAGTAAAAGTCTGTAAAGTGTATCCAATAGCCATATTATCACATGCATCACAACACTCTTAGACACAGCACTTTGAAATTATACACTTTGGCAGACCCTGGTAACCCTCGGTGCCCCTGAGATGGCAGCTTCACATAAAATGTAATTAGAAAAAAGTAATTCCTTTGCAGGTGGTTAACTTTTTAAAGCACCATGACCAGTTCAGTGATTTGAAGTGGTCATGGTGCCTGTAGTCTGTATGTGCAGTGACGTTGAAATGATGTACATAGAGAGATTAACTCCTCTGCTCTCATAGGCCCATGCAGCATTATTGAGTCTAGAAATGGTTCCGGACTGGCTAATATCAATACTGTGGAAAAATGATGTCTGACATTAGCACGCACTGTATGCTGGAACCAGACAGTCAATGGCAGGTCACCTTGCCCGACCCCTATGTGCCAACTGTGTCCTCTCCTAATCCCACCCTTCCTCAGGGCTACCACAGATGGGGTTACTCTAACCAAAACCAATGTTGTCTTAAGTCTTTACTTAGGAAGTGTCATGTTAAATTGTCATGCTTGGGTCACCTTTATGTTGTCAGCTAATTTTCACTGGAATCTTACATTATGTACCCCTAAATTCAGAAACACGCACAGTTATACAGCTCAGACACCTCATTCAATGAATAGGGGGTAACATAAACCAAATCATATGGCAGAGCTTGTTGAAAGGACAGACAATTACAGTTAAATCTTAACCATTAATCAGGATAAATTCAGTGTATTGACAAGAGCAGGGGTGTCCAAACTTTTTTCTAAGAGGGCCAGATTCTCTGTCCCTTCTCTCTTTATTCTGTCCCTTCTCTCTTTATTCCGTCCCTTCTCTCTTTATTCTGTCCCTTCTCTCTTTATTCCGTCTCTTCTCTCCTTATTCTCTCTTCTCTCTTTATTTTGTCCCTTCTCTCTTTATTCCGTCCCTTCTCTCTTTATTCTGTCTCTTCTCTCTTTATTCTGTCTCTTCTCTCTTTATTCTGTCCCTTCTCTCTTTATTCTGTCCCTTCTCTCTTTATTCCGTCTCTTCTCTCCTTATTCTCTCTTCTCTCTTTATTTTGTCCCTTCTCTCTTTATTCCGTCCCTTCTCTCTTTATTCTGTCTCTTCTCTCTTTATTCTGTCTCTTCTCTCTTTATTCTGTCCCTTCTCTCTTTATTCTGTCCCTTCTCTCTTTATTCCGTCTCTTCTCTCCTTATTCTCTCTTCTCTCTTTATTTTGTCCCTTCTCTCTTTATTCCGTCCCTTCTCTCTTTATTCTGTCTCTTCTCTCTTTATTCTGTCTCTTCTCTCTTTATTCTGTCTCTTCTCTCTTTATTCTGTCTCTTCTCTCTTTATTCTGTCCCTTCTCTCTTTATTCTGTCTATTCTCTCTTTATTCCGTCCCTTCTCTCTTTATTCCGTCTCTCTTTATTCCGTCTCTCTTTATTCCGTCTCTCTTTATTCTGTCTCTCTTTATTCTGTACCTTTTTATTCTGTCCAATCTCTGTTTTTCTGTCCCAGCAGGGAGAAGGAACCAAATCCCCTGAATCCCATGATGTCCACGAGATCCCACGACGTCCAAGAGATTGCAAGAACGCAGACTGAGGTCACTGCACGTCCATCTGCATTCTCGCAATCTCTTGGCCCCCAGTGAATCCCTGAGTGCTGGTCAGAACCGCAGCGTTCAAAGATCCAGAGATCCCAGGGGTCCTGAGCGGCGCAGGGGTCCTTAGCCAAACTATCTGTGGGGACGTATTAAACCAGAACACTGTTATATGTTGGATGTGTGTGATACTTGTAATGGGTGTATTAACAGTGTGTGATATGCGTGTATTAGTTGTATGGGATATTTGTGCTGGGTTTATTGCCTGTGTGTGATGGTTATTTAATTCAGATAAAAACATGCATTTAGGCCTGTGTATAAATGCAGGTGTATATTTTTGCAGAGTTATGTGCACACAGTCCCACAGTCAGAGGCACACAGTTATACATATACACTGTCAAATCCACCACATGCACATAGTCGCAGGCAGATAGTCACATACACGGGATCAAGCAGAAACACACAGGTACAGGCAGTAACACACATACTCAATTACTGGCAGACAGCCACACACACACAGGCAGACAGCCACACATACTGTCTTACACATACTTACATGCAGACAGTCACACACACACACACAGACAGATACACACACTGGCAGACAGCCACACACATACACACAGACAGCCACACACACACACACACACACACACACACACAGAGAGAGACACAGGTAGACAGTCACACACCCACAGACACAGGCAGACAGTCATACACACACAGACAGTCATACACACACAGGCAGACAGTCATACACACAGACACACACACACACAGGCAGACAGTCATACACACAGGCAGACAGTCATACAAACAGACACAAAGACACAGGCAGACACACACACAGGCAGACATATACACACAGGCAGACATATACACACAGGCAGACATATACACACAGGCAGACAGTCATACACACAGTCAGACTCATACACACACACACACAGGCAGACAGTCATACAAACACAGACACAGGCAGACACACACACAGGCAGACATATACACACAGGCAGACAGTCATACACACAGGCAGACAGTCCCACACACACAGGCAGACAGTCAGACTCATACACACACACACACACACACACACAGGCAGACAGTCATACAAACAGACACAGGCAGACACACACACAGGCAGACATATACACACAGGCAGACAGTCATACACACAGGCAGACAGTCCCACACACACAGGCAGACAGTCAGACTCACACACACACACACACACACACAGGCAGACAGTCATACACACAGACACACACAGGCAGACAGTCACACACACACACACACACACACACACACAGACAGTCACACTCACACATAGTTACCTCTGTTCATTGTGGAGGCAGACAGGCAATGCAGCTCCTGGAGACTGTTTGTTGGGGAAGCAGGGACTCCTTCCTGCTCCCCCTGTAGCAGTTATCCTGCACATTTAGCTCCGCCCCGTCACAGGAAGCTCCGCCCCATCACAGGAAGCCCCGCCCTGCCAAATGGGAAGCTCTGGCCCTTGGCCATGTGCGAGCTGTGTCGGCTGTCAGGGCACCCCCTGCTCCATGGCGCCCTGTGCGGCCGCACAGCTCGCACACCCCTAAGGCCAGCCCTGGATAGCCCGGCATGTTAGTGCATCGACTGTACTGTGATGGCTTTGTCCCTCTGTTCCTGATCAAGTGTTTTGAAGTAAATAAGGTTTCAGCCAAATTAATATAAGCTTCATAAGTGGCCTAATATAGGATACAATTTAATGTTTTTGAATAATCTTTTCCAATTATTTAACTTTTTTTTAATAAACTTTCAAAATGTATTTCGTATTCTCAAAAGTGTTTGTAAAAAAAAACAAAAAACTATAGTGTTTTCCTAGCACTGTAGCTCCCTTTAGTCCCCCTCCCCATTCCCAGTGATTCCAGTGCTGATATCACCTCAGCCAACAGGGGGACAGTGGGACCTTGAGAGCCGCAATTGCATTAGGACTTCCTTCATATGACTTCCCTCAAAGGAAAGCTTATACATTGTTGGATGTCCAGCATCAGTTAGGTGACCAAAAGTCGACTAACCACCCGATAGTCCCTCTAGAGGCTGTCTAGTAGATAGGCACTAGAGGTGGAGTTAACCATCCAATGTAACAATTGCAGTTTATCAAAAACTGCAATAATTAGCTTTGCAGGGTTAAGGGACCTGGGACTATGCACCCAGACCACTTCAATGAGCTGAAGTGGTCTTGATGCCTTTAGTGTCCCTTTAACTACTGAATAGGCAGTTCATACTGATGGCTAATCTTATCAAAAGATTAATCTATCAGGTCTTTCACTATTATCTATCCCAGCGGTTCACCAGCCAGCAGTTCCCCTGCTGTCCCCATCCCAGGGGCACTGCAATGTGCACACAGGGGTGCCGCAAAATGTTTCCCCAATGCTATGATTATAGCACCAGCTGTCAAGGTGTGTGTTTTTATGTCAGTGTGTGTATTGGTGTCATGGTGTGGGCATCAATCTTTGTATGTGTCACGGTGCATGTGTGTATGTCGGTGTGTATTTATTTGTGTCTAATTGTCGGTGTGTATCTATGTGTGTGTATGTGTCGTGTCTATATGAATTTGTTTGTATGTGTCGGTGTATTTATATGTATCTGTGTGTTAATGTGCATGAATATCTGTGTATGTATGTATGTGTTAGTGTATGTGCATACATCCAATCAGTCCAACACCAGCACAACATACAAGCACACTCCTGCAATCTAACACAAATGTTACATACAAACACACCCCTGCAATTTTAAACTTTCCATTTACCTATTCTTACCATCAATTTCTAGCATAGCTTCCATTTATCTGCCAGGTGTATATCTTATCATGCCACATTTATTCTTTTGCATTTACGTATTTTAAGTCACCACGTAAGTGACTCGCTTTACGTTACTACCTCCATTCTTACAATAACCACGCGCTCTACAAAACTTATCTTTAGCTTGGACTGGCTGTTAGGGTACCCTAAGTGGCCATAAGTAGTTTTCGGCTTCTTGTGCCATTATATAGCTATCCTGCGAGGCCAACTCCCATTGTCAACTACGGAGGTATTCGCCCCTCGGGCCAAATCATAGTTACTGCCTCGCATCTCCGCCCTCTTAGCAAAGCAGCCAGGGCCTCACCTGTCACAGCCAACTTATTTTGAATCTTATTTTGAATCTCTCGGCCAACACCCCGCCACAACGTTCGGTGGCAAACATACCCAACGGGCCAAATCATAGGTAGAGCCTCTCATCGCCACTTGACAACTAATTAGGTTCCCAAGTCACCAATTTAGCTTAATTGTTTCACCACTTGGAATAACATAGGTCAGCCAGTATCTTTGTGTTACAGAGTATCTCCCACTAACCAATTTTCCCTTTCAGGTATGGTTATAAATGCTGATAAAATGTATTGATGGTTTAATGTAGACACGTATTAAGGTGTTAGACTATTAACTTTTTGCCCTCTTTTTACAGGCCTACCCGAATGTAGGTTCCGGCACACCACAACCGACTTGTTCACCACTAACATAACTTGGCTTATTGTCCCTGACCACAAATATATATATATATATATATATATATATATATATATATATATATATATGCAAACACACCCCTTCACTCAAACACAAATATTTCGCAGAAATGTACCTCCACATTTAAAAGTGAACATTACATTCAGACACACCCTGCAATTAAACATTACATGCAAACACACCCCTGTATTAAAACACAATAAATGTATACAAGCACCCCTTCAAACACCAACACTGTACATTACACTATAGCGCCAGTAAATGCTGCAGCGCTGTACAGATATACAACCTAGAAATTTGACTCGGGGTGCATTGGAAAAATAATGAAATATTAAGGGCGCCTTGACCCTAAAAAGATTAGGAACCACTGATCTATCCCCTTTTGACTGAGTGTTTGCTTAGTTTTTTCATGTTCGAGATACCTGGGGGGGAGGGGGTGTTTGGAGGGTACACATACTGAGTAATAACTCTTGTTATTTTACATAATTTATCTCCAGCGCATGTAACAATATTATTCCAACATTATAAACACACTGTAGCCCAGAGGGTTCCTTTGTTATTGATCAGTAACCTTGTATTATATACTAGTAAACCCATAAGGCTGGAGGCTCTAACACACACACACACACACACACACACACACAAACTTCTCTTGCCCTTTTGTATATATTTTGGTTTGTATTAATATTCGTATAGTTTTTTTTTTTTTCTCTATTTAACCCATAGATCCCTCAGAATTCAGCAAACTGCAATACTTAAAAGCCCGCGGAGTGAAGCCGGAACAACTGGGTAAACTACGAAAGCAGTCTTTTCTGACCAATAACTAGATCCATAGCCAAGACTCTGGAACAGATTCTCTTTCTGTATAAACTGTATTATAAATGTACCCGCATAATAAAAATAGTAGCGTTAGTCAGATCACTTTATCCCAAATAATGCAAATAGGTAAGAAGAGGGGGTAGCACCTTGATATATTTCTTGATGGTAGAGGTGTTTCCAGAAGTAGTAGAATATGTGGAGACAGAAGATATAGTATAGTATAGTATAGTATATTATGTGACAAAAATAAGAAAAATAGGAATTGCACTCACAGTTTGTAGAGCTGGGATAGCTCTATCTAGTTGCACCTGGGCAGTGTAATCCCTGCCTAAGGATATATGGTCTCTTCTTATAGTAAAGTGAAGTAGTGCAAAGAATCTTCAACTGGATACAGTAGGTCAGGATGATATCAGCCTTATGGGCTCACTGGCTTGTTGATAAGTAGGTTGTATATGTAAAACACAGAATAAAAAATATTGTGCTTACGAATGCATATAAATGTTTTTGATAATAAAATAGGAGACGTACTCACAAGTATGGAGTGAATTAGGGTATTGCTCACTGCACAGCGCTCAGTTAAGGAATATATGGTCCCAGGCTCCGCAAACAATCAAGGTGAAGTCCAATAAAGTAAAAATATTTAACTATTTTATTGGATTTGCTATTTAACAAAACAAATTAAAAAATAATATATTAACTAGAAAAATACACTTAACGTGTCTCGCCTATCCTGGGAAAGCAGTGCAGATTTTACTGCTGATGCCTTAGCCCACTTGGCTATCTCACCTTAAATGTTAATTTTTATAATATACTGCTCCAGTGCAATTATGTATATTTTATTGGTAAATTGTTTTGTATTATTTGTTTTAACCCCTTAAGGACACGTGACATGTGTGACATGTCATGATTCCCTTTTATTCCAGAAGTTTGGTTCTTAAGGGGTGAAAGACACAATCTTGAAATTGGATAATCAGTCACATGACCTGTGATGTCGTGTTAGTTAGGTTCAGATTTGTACACTATAAATACTGTGAAGTCCTGTGTAACACTTTTGAAAAATAACATTAGTTAGATGAAAAGATCCAAACATGTGCTAGCAATTCTGTTAATATAACATCAACAAAACGTTGTTATAGCTTTTCTATTTTATATTTCTAGCTAATCTTGTACCTGTGTTAGTTACACTTTAAACTCTGGGGTGGATTCAAAGAACAAATAAAATTTTAACAAATTATAATTTGATCTATTTTTCTAGATGTGACTCGAAATGAAGTCACGTGTTCCTCCAATGACATAAATATTATTACAATCGGTGTGAAACCTCGAGAAAAAATAGATGAGGAGGCCAAAGAACCGACATCAAGTGATGAAGAAACAAAAGTAATTTTTAAACGTAAATTCACATATGAAGATCCTGAACTACAACCATCCTGTAATTTTTACACACAGAAGCTCAGTACAAGTAAGAGTCCAGGCAGATGCCGAATTATAATTTTTCAATGATTTCTGCTACTCCACCCACAATTTAAAATCCCCCTTGGGGGAAAAAGCAGGGATTCACGTGATGGAAAATTGAACACTGTGATCATGTAAAGATAGTATGGGAGAAGTCTCATAGGGGTATATTGCCAATTGAAAAGAGTGTAACGGTTTTAAGAGTAGAGCATCACCATGGAAACAGTGGAATCTTCCTAAATGATGCTATTCATTTCTATATGGATTGCTCCATTTATAAAAACATAAGGAGGCGAAAAGAAGGGGAGGATCAGAGGTAGAAACTGTTTCATACCGCACAAACCTGACCTTTAGAAATGAAGAAGCAACCCATAAGTAAATGATTAAAAAATAACCTTAAGTGAGTATAAAATAAAAAAAACAACAACAAAAAAAACACACCTGTGGGTTTAAAATAAGTACAAATTTGTATAACAAGTACTAAATACCAAAGATAATAAATGGTGCTGAGAATAAGTAAAGACACCAAAAGGTGGATATAGCTGAAAAAGGGTGGGGAGAAGGAATAAATACTGACTGCAAGATCGCAGACAAAGGATAAATGCTGGGAAGGTAGGAGGATAAACAAGGAAAGGACTGCAAAGACAGATAATATCTATGCCCTACCGTGCCTTCAAGGGCACCCCTTAAAGTCTAAACCTCCAAGCCTCCCAGAGTCCCAGAAACATACAACATAAAGTAAACCTAACCCCTTTCCCCGTTTACCATCAGCAAACTTAATACAAATTAATGAAAAATTTCAGTAAAAATCTAATGCTAAAATCACAGCATGGTGGCTTGTCTAAATCTTAGAAAATAGCTGCAGCATCATCCCTAATCTCACTGTCAACCACTGCTCAAACTGTCCTGGCATGCGTTTCGCCAAATAATGGCTCTTTGATTTCAGAGGGTTGCGCTGCAACATACAATGAACTGTCTTTTTTTTAAGCCACAACCTTGACCTGTGCTAGCAGTGATGTTTATACAGTTATGTATAACGTTTCTCAACCTCCTTAGTCTTAAAACAGATCCCCTTTATAATGACAGTTTGCCCTTCTACTTGGGCTGATAATGTGTTCTCCAGCAGTACCAGTGACCAGTATGTGCCATGGACTATTTAATTTGAACACTAACTTATTGTTTCGAACGCCTTGGCAAAATCCAAGTAGATCACATCCATTGCAACACCGTTGTAACGGATCACCTGGCACCCCGACTGGGTACCTCCGTTGAAGGATGCTCCTAGCGCTTACAGAGGGCTCCAAGCGCTCCGCAGACACCACAACCACCGCAGACCCCACGAACCGCCTTCAGAGAGTGAAGCAGGAACAAGAGCTTAGAAGTGATAATCCAAGGGAGCATGCAGAGCATAGCAATCCCTTGTAGTGATATAGCAATTCCCCCAATAAGAGACAGGGCTCTAGATTGAGGGTGAAGAAGAACTCTATTACTTGGCACCAAATGGCCTTCTTTTATGCAGGTTTTCCCTGCATAGGACCACCCACAGGGTTTTACAGAACAACCAATAACACACGTACATTACAGAAAACACTCCCAGCAATTATCCACAAAAATCCTCCCCTCAGCCTGTGATCTAATTATGGCACACAATGCTTAACATAATTAACACAGGCAGGAAAAATACCGTTTTTATACATGTACTATAACTTTAAAAATATACATCCACTCTTCATAAAAATTACATATTATTAATCAGCATACTTGAAATATAAAACATTAATCCCTACACTATCCTTAACAGTAAAACAGCATGAAGCCCCATCCCAGCATAAACCCTTACCTTACCCTAACCCTACAGCGTCCCTACACTATCTCTAGCCCTATCCTTACCCCTAATTCTAACCCTACCACTAACCATAGCCCTAAGGGAACCCTCTACTAATATCTTTTCTGATTACAGCAGATGGGATTCATAGTTAATACAGTAAGGAGTGGTCTGTGATCTCCATCTACTGGCTGTTTTCATAATTACATTCGATCAGGGTTATATTCTAAAGTGAGAATTCAAAATGAATTTCAAATTCAAGGTCAAATAGTTGAACTGGAAAAATTCTCTAAGTCGGCAATGGTTTTCAGTAAACATATTTTGCCTTTAAATTTAAAATTCACTTTGAATTCTCACTTTAGTAGAGAATTCTGTGTGTAATTATGAATGGAGCCTGCTTTCCAGCTGATTGCACTGTGATTGGTGGTGATCAGCTGGCAATGCCAGCACAGATCACAATCGGCTTGTCGACCGGCAAGGAGACCATGTCAAGTTCTATTCAGACCCTCCTGACCCTTCACATACTTTTAACTCTTAAAGGACCACTATAGGCACCCAGACCACTTCAACTCAATGAAGTGGTCTGGTGCCAGGTCCATCTAGGTTTTAACCCTGCAGCTGTAAACATAGCAGTTTCAGAGAAGCTGTATGTTTCACTGAGGGTTAATCCAGCCTCTAGTGGCTGTCTCATTGACAGCCGCTAGAGGCGCTTCTGCGCTTCTCACTGTGATTTTCACAGTGAGAAGACGCCAGCGTCCATAGGAAAGCATTGAGAAATGCTTTCCTATGGACTGACTGAATGCTCACGTGGCTCTTGCCACGTATGCGCATTTGTCGGAAAAGGGAGGAGAGTCCCCAGCGCCGGGGGAGCCCGGCGCTGGAGAAAGGTAAGTGTTTAACCCCTTCCTCCCCCTAGAGCCCGTCGGGAGGGGGGCCATGAGGGTGGGGGGACCGACCTATTAACACTATATTATATATATTGATAATATATTACTATATTGATAATAAAACTCTGATCTAATCTTTCTGCAGATGAGGAGGATGACAAAATCATCTTTACTAACTGTTCTGTTACTGGAAAAGCACCTAAAATTATCTGGGAAAATGAAGGAAATCCAGTTAGTACAATGGAATATGAATTTAGAAAAGATGGCATTGTAACAGTTACCAGTGCTCGCGGGTATTTAAAATCTTCTCTTTGTGATAAGGAAATAAAATTAACATGTGTTATCACCAGCAAGAATAATAAAAAAGATAAGTCAACAGTATTTTATATGAACACCGGGGAAGTTGTTACATACCACAGTGGAAGACATAACACATACCCTTAGATGGGGATTGTTGTGTCCTGGTCCATTATCTCTATTGTTCCATTCAGGCCCATTATCTATTATACCTACTGGAAGCACAAGCATCCACCTACTGTGGATCCACCTACTGTGTCCACCTACATCCACCTACTGTGTATTATCAATTCTCTAGCCAGGAAGAAAGACCCTTGGCAGGATTGTTGCTGATACACGCCCATGGAACTGACCTAAAGCTCGATCCACTATTTGTATTGTTTGTAACTATGACAGATACGTCCTACTTTGCTAATATAACCAGTCAGGATTTGGGAATAATGAAGTTTTGTAGTTTGCCTCATGGAAATAAACTGTGTCATGGATGTGTTTTTTTTGTGTTTTTTCACCACAACTGTTATATAATTAAATGCATGTTTAATTATTGAAATCCGTACCTGACCAGCTATAATCCTCTTCTTTGTTCAGGTACACAAAACATGACAGGATTTCATCAATCCCGATATATACCAATATCTCTGATTGTGGTAATAGCAGCAATAATCATGTCATCTTTAGTAGGAGCTATGTATTTTTCTATCGAGAGATATCAAATGTAAGTAACAATACATTCTCCAACTATATAATTTAGTGTTGTTAAGAGAGAACTTAATTATTTAGGTAATGTGTTCCAGAGAGATTAATAAAATGTAGAAATTCATATCTTAAAGACTCTAAGATTAACAAATTCAACTTTAAAACAATGGAGTAGACACAAGCTAAGTTGGATGGGTAGAATTAATGTTTCAAGATCTGATATTTTTCCCTTTTGGACATATCTTTTTAGGATGTTTCCAGAGTGTTGGTTGGATTTAATCCAATCTAGTTTTTGTAACTTTGTATGGTGGGGGAAAACATCCCGGGTCAGATTTGGCTGTTTAGGACATTGAGTGAATCGGGGGAGGGGGGAATCGGGAGTACATTTTCCCAATATTTAAAAACATTGAGGCCAGTGTTCCATACCATCTACATTTTATCAACTAAAGATTTACTGTTAAAGGAAGCATGGTTCAGAATAGAAATAGAACATTTGGACAAGGGAGATATGATTAAAACCATATGGCAACTAGGGGAAAAAAGGTTTAGTAGAGCATACGAACAACAAGATTCTGTTACATTTTTTTTCAATATGATTTAGGATTTAGAAGAAATTGAATTGTATGGATAAAATATAAGAATTGCTTTAACTGAATGTTCTTAGTTTTCTAATAGATACCATTGATTATTTGGAAAAGTAGGATCATCAATAAAATAAGAGATATTATGAATAATGGAAAAATTAAACTTTTTGTAACAATGTGATCTATCAAATTAAGACATATTCACATAGTTAAGGATCAGATCATATACAAGAGGTCATGGCTTTGTGGGATCCAATGAAGTAAGTGTACATATGAAGAATATCTTTGGAGAGCAACAATATCTTATCATTCATTGTTTTACAGCTGTTAAAATATTATTGGCTAGACATTGGTAACAAAGGATTGAGATAACATATGTTCAATGGAAATCCCAACTCATCCTCTAGCTAAACATGGAGAATTGGATTAACAATTCTTCATCCAAGAATAAAGTATTGAGGGGAAATATCTCTTTAGAAAACTGTCATAATTCTAGATGATTAACCCTGTACTTGGGAAGCACTTTATAAACACTCTCATGATTTACCATTAGGGACACATATTTGTGTATGATTGTCTTATTGGGGTGGAGTTATATAGTGTGTTATGTGTTTGTATATTTGTGTTATGTGGAGATGCATGTCATTTTCTTGTCATCCAAAAAATGGTATAAAAAAAAAAGTAAGTAACAAAGGAGCACGCTAAACACCATTATATTACAGGGTGCCTTGATGGTTATGGTGTCAGGAGCTCCCTGGCATTGTCCCTCAGTAAAGGATTAAACTGTTGGTAAATGATTGGACATTAGCTTGGGTCTCCCTGGGTGCCAGAGCTGTTTCTGATAACAATCTGGTTACAGTGGAAGTTCTTTAAAGGACCACTATAGTGCCAGGAAAACATATTCATTTTCCTGGCACTATAGTGCCCTGAGGGTGCCCCCACCCTCATGGTCCCCCTCCCGCCCGGCTCTGGGGAGAGGAAGGGGTTAAACTTACCTCTTTCTCCAGCGCCGGGCGGGGAGCTCTCCTCCTCCTCTCCTCCCTCTTCTCCTCCTCTTCGGCTGAATGCGCATGGGCGGCAGGAGCTGCGCGCGCATTCAGCCAGTCCATAGGAAAGCATTCTCAATGCTTTCCTATGGACGCTGGCGTCTTCTCACTGTGATTTTCACGGTGAGAAGCACGCAAGCGCCTCTAGCGGCTGTCAAGAGACAGCCACTGGAGGCTGGATTAACCCTAACATAAACATAGCAGTTTCTCTGAAACTGCTATGTTTATAAAAATAAATGGGTTAACCCTAGCTGGACCTGGCACCCAGACCACCTCATTAAGCTGAAGTGGTCTGGGTGCCTATAGTGGTCCTTTAACCCCTTAAGGACCAAACTTCTGGAATAAAATGGAATCATGACATGTCACACATGTCATGTGTCCTTAGGGGGTTAAACATGTAAATTTTGTGAAGTTTTTTGGGGGGTATTTGTTGGCTGAAAGTATCCATAGTGTTTATTGTGCTTAAATTGCTAGTTTAACGCCTCAAGGACACAAGACATGTCTGACATGTCATGATTCCCTTTTATTCCAGAAGTTTGGTCCTTAAGGGGTTAAGGAATTCATTGACTTTAATATGCTTAAAGAATTATTCACTAAAAGGAGAATTGCGGAAAACTTACAATAGCAAATTTGCAGCCAAAAGAGTGTTATTGGCGAAATACTCCCACTCTTGAAATTTCTGTCATCTTTTCATAAGTCGAAGTATACTCCTAGAATTCATACATTAATTGCTAATTCTTCTGTCATCCCGTATACGCAGAACATAAGAGCCTAAAAGAAGCTGGGGCAGCAACATTTTCTGGTTTTGATTGGAAAATCTATTTGAATAAATATAAGGTCTCTCCCCTAGCTGTCAATCAATTCTTCAATATACAAATGGAATCAGAAAATGCTAAATAGAAAAAGCAATACAAAGTTTATAAATATTCATACCAAGTCACAGTATTTTACAGAAGGAAAGTTAATAGCATGTTCTTTATTATAGTGTGAAAAGAAAATACCAGCAAAAGAAAAAACATAAGGTCTCCAAAGTGACCATTTTACATAACTGCACCAAAGAGAGTTATATTGGAGCATTTCCAGGGGCAAATAATGCAATGCAGATACGTAAGCAAACGTATCTTACCATGACTTCCATGTTCGCCCCATTCACTCTGTCAGTCTCTTTAGAAGTGCAGTAAAAGGCATGTTTGGTTAACAATAGAAATATAATACAATGCAGGGAAAATAAATCTTCATATTTAGTATAAGAGGGAATTCTTCCAAAAGCAAATGCAGATAAGCTATTGTTATTTATCATAGACGATGAGCACACGAAAAAAGTCGCATACATTGCCGATAGCCAGTCTGTTGACTTAAGGTGATTGGGACACTAAAATTCAGAAGTCATTATGGAAATTGCTGAGTTTAACTAAAGAGAATACACGATAACAATGTGAAGTCAAATGCTCATTGGGCACCAATGCCGAGTCAAAACGCTACATAAAAGGTTACATATACTCTACTTACTAAGAGAATTCAAAGAACCCATTGGAACTTACAAAGAACAACGAGGGCCCCCATTCCTACCATGACATGTCCCATGAATCCCAAATATGAACGGATGGAGAAGTTTCAAAATGGCTTTGTCCAACAAATAGGCGATTCAGTATGTTTAAGTCAGTAATTGTTATCCAAACAATCTTATGGGTCTATTACATTTCCTGTGATCCAAGGTTTGAATTAGCATTTTAATGATGTATGGAAAACAAAAACATTTAGCTGCGTTGAGGTTTGTGTTATGAAAAGTGGCTTTTAGTTTTCTCATATTCTCCAGTTGAGAGAGAAAAAATCTGTGGATTTAAAAATGAGTCTAGCCTTAAATAAAATAAGATGAGATCCAGTGTGGATGCTGCTGTCTTATTGGACCAGGAGATGATATATCCAGCTCTGTGGTCAGAGTAAAAAATGCTCAATAGTGATGTTTGTCTGAAAGGAAATTTACAAAACATGGGAAATGTGCCATTATGGCATTCTAATTAAGACAAAACTGTGTGTTTTTGTTTTTTTTTTGTTTAATTATAATTTATGTGAAGAACACATGCTAGATCCCCAGTGAACTGTGACATTTTGGAATAATTAATTTTCTCTTTTTTTTTTTTTTTTATTAAATAGACAGTTTTGGAAATCAAAGGAGCTGCATTCTAAGCAATTATTAGACAATAAAGATACAGTAGATCAAGATAATGTGCATCCTGATACAGTTCATCTAACACCAGACACAAAGAGATGTGAAGAAGTAAGTACTTAAAGAGCCACTCCAGGCTCCAACACACGTTAGCAGCACTGTGTTATTTAGGTTACAGTTACTTTCAGATCTTTGACCCTCTCACATTATGCTGAGGGCATTAGAACTATGAATAGATTGGTTTAACCATTCTCTGAGCACATTCTGTCCTTGGATTCCAGGCTGAGATATCTTTACTTGAGCATCTTCATCCAGTTTACAGACAGGACACCCCGTTTGGGCATCACTAGTAATGCAAGTTTAGTTACTGGCATGCACCTTTAGACCGACTTACTTACTATCCCTCATTCATAGCTCCCAGTTACCTATTTAATTTATTGGGTAAGAGAGATTACAGAGAGTTATGCTGGGTTGGCTATTTATCATTTTATTATTTTGCTCAAAGCCCACCTTTGCTGAGCATGAAGGAGAAAAATGTTTGGGCTCACAGGGATCATATCATTCAGGCTTTTATTGGTAATGAACAGGCAACGTCTGGAATCAACAAGTCTTTAACAAGCCAATGGCTTGTGTCGAAATGTTGTCTTTTCATTTCCTATAAAAGTCTGCTTGGAATGTTCCTCGTGTGCCCGGACCTTTTTCTCCTTCACTTCTGTGGGTGTGTCACCTAGTGGATACTCCAGAATAAAAAACAGATATACCGGTAGGTGCGCTGTGCCTTTAAAACATTAAGAACTAGTATAAACACATTTATTCATTTCAATCAGACAAGGTGTATATAAATCACTAAAGTGACAGTGCAAAACCTATTGTGGTCCCAATACTGTGCAAGGCCACTGCCAAAGTCCTTATAATGAAAATTAGGAACTTACAATACAAGGAACATATGTGTCCTCTACTTGAGCTAAAAAATAAAAAAAACTAAGAAAAATACATAGTGTATATCTATATATGAAATCAGTGGATGTTAAAAAGCTTTGTTGGAACACTCACAAACAAAGAGCAGACGAGCCTGCTCTGACTGATCAGCTTGAGTAGATCCCTTAAATGGGTAAGTGATGCAGGTAAGGATGCCGGCAATAGGTATGTTTAAATACTTTATTGCATCAAATAGTAGTAAAAACATCCCCAGGGTTCTTCTCCTTTGTGGGTTTCTTGTGTATGGAATCACCAGTCCCGTTTGTCCGCCGCCGGCTGCAAGACTATGGGCTTATCGATATCCTACACGAGCACTTCCTGAAGGCGGGGATTGTGTCCGAACCACGTGATACTCCAGAATAATATCTGTCCACATAACCCACCCTTCCTCACATCCTTCCTTAAATTGCAGTATTTCCTATTATACACATTTTACACCTGGATTTAGTTTGCTCAGCCTTTAATAAACTGAGTTTCTTATTGTTCCTCCTCATAATTTCTTTTTCCTCCTCTTTCTCTCCCCTTGCAAGTTGATGGTATTTGTACCAACCCGTCCTTGTAGGCTCGCTGTCTTGGTGTGATCACCTTTACTCCTCAAGTCCAGTCTGTCCTGCCGATTCCACCTAAAAACCATTGCCCTCATTCGCCTCTTCCTTACACAAGATTCTATTAAAGAGCTTGTTCGTGCCCTTGTAATTTCTTGCATTGATGACTGTAATTCTCTCCTAATTGGTCTCACCAGAAACTGAACTGTCTTGCTACAGTGTGTTATAAATGTTGCCACCAGGCTAATTTTCTCTCCTGTCTCTCCTCTCACACTTCGCCCCTCTGTCAATCCTTACATTGGCTTCTTTGACCCTGTAGAGTTTACCTAGATTCGTCCTAAAACATAAAAAGAAAAAATACACAAACAGCTGGCTGGCAAAAGAGGGCATGTTTATAATATCAATAAATTCATCCAGGAAACTAAACGTGTTATGTATAAATTATATATGATTAATAAATAAAAAAAAACAATAAAATCAATAAAGTGAATAAAGAAGTGCACATAAAACTAATTGTGTAATATAAAGTTAGAATTACATATTAATAGGTGACAATTATCAGTGTCAGCAATGAAATATATGGTTGTATATAAGATTTACTTAAATTGCCAGTGCTCCATAGATAGTCCCTTTCATAGATAGTGCTCCATAGATAGTCCCTTTCATAGATAGTGCTCCATAGATAGTGCTCCATAGATAGTCCCTTTCATAGACTCCATAGATAGTCTTTCATAGATAGTGCTCCATAGATAGTGCTCCATAGATAGTCTTTCATAGATAGTGCTCCATAGATAGTGCTCCATTTCATAGATAGTGCTCCATAGATAGTCCCTTTCATAGATAGTGCTCCATAGATAGTCCCTTTCATAGATAGTGCTCCATAGATAGTCCCTTTCATAGATAGTGCTCCATAGATAGTGCTTCATAGATAGTGCTCTATAGATAGTCTTTCATAGATAGTGCTCCATAGATAGTCGCTTTCATAGATAGTGCTCCATAGATAGTCCCTTTCATAGATAGTGCTCCATAGATAGTGCTCCATAGATAGTGCTCCATAGATAGTCGCTTTCATAGATAGTCGCTTTCATAGATAGTGCTCCATAGATAGTCGCTTTCATAGATAGTGCTCCATAGATAGTGCTCCATAGATAGTCCCTTTCATAGATAGTGCTCCATAGATAGTCCCTTTCATAGATAGTGCTCCATAGATAGTCCCTTTCATAGATAGTGCTCCATAGATAGTCCCTTTCATAGATAGTGCTCCATAGATAGTCCCTTTCATAGATAGTGCTCCATAGATAGTGCTTCATAGATAGTGCTCTATAGATAGTCGCTTTCATAGATAGTGCTCCATAGATAGTCGCTTTCATAGATAGTGCTCCATAGATAGTCCCTTTCATAGATAGTGCTCCATAGATAGTGCTCCATAGATAGTGCTCCATAGATAGTCGCTTTCATAGATAGTGCTCATAGATAGTGCTCCATAGATAGTCCCTTTCATAGATAGTGCTCCATAGATAGTGCTCCATAGATAGTCCCTTTCATAGATAGTGCTCCATAGATAGTCCCTTTCATAGATAGTGCTCCATAGATAGTCCCTTTCATAGATAGTGCTCCATAGATAGTCCCTTTCATAGATAGTGCTCCATAGATAGTCCCTTTCATAGATAGAGTGCTCCATAGATAGAGTCCCTTTCATAGATAGTGCTCCATAGATAGTGCTCCATATAGTCGCTTTCATAGATAGTGCTCCATAGATAGTCCCTTTCATAGATAGTGCTCCATAGATAGTCCCTTTCATAGATAGTGCTCCATAGATAGTCCCTTTCATAGATAGTGCTCCATAGATAGTCCCTTTCATAGATAGAGTGCTCCATAGATAGTCCCTTTCATAGATAGTGCTCCATAGATAGTGCTCCATAGATAGTGCTCCATAGATAGTGCTCCATAGATAGTGCTCCATAGATAGTGCTCCATAGATAGAGTCGCTTTCATAGATAGTGCTCCATAGATAGAGTGATCCATAGATAGAGTGATCCATAGATAGAGTCCCTTTCTTAGATAGTGCTCCATAGATAGTGCTCCATAGATAGTGCTCCATAGATAGTGCTCCATAGATAGAGTGCTCCATAGATAGAGTCCCTTTCATCCAATGACAGTGCAATCCAATAAAACTTTTTATATGTAAACCTGCAATAAGAATAAAACAAGTTTAAATAGGTCAGTTAAAATAAGATATATAAAAAAAAAAAATTAGGACTGCAGTGATCTTCTCGGTAATTACTTACAAATAATTATAAAAAGAGAGGACCAAAGTCTGGCTGATTCTAAAGTGCATGTGATGCATTTCCCAATGAAATAGAAAATGAATATATGATCCCAATGTGAATAAATAGTGGGTTCAAATCTAAAACAATAAAGATATTAAAAACAAATGCATCACATGAAAAGCAAAAGGTCAAAATTGAGGCCTTTTTCGAGAAAGGGAATTCAGTTTCCTGATCCAGAAGGCCTCATGAAGTTTTAATCTTATTCTCTCTCTCCTTCTTCATACTTCAGGTACATGTTCTATAATCTTAAAGCGTAACTGGGAGATATTGTGCTTGTGTTCAGCAAAATGGCCAGGAATAGGTAAATCTACCAAACCTGTCCATATGGCTGACTTGTATGTAGGGAATCTCGCTTGCATGGTTTTGGTTGTTTCCCCAACATAGATAAACACACACAGACATTCCAGTAGGTAGACAACATATTCTGTATTACAAGTGACATATGCATTAACTCTATCTCTCTTACCACTGTATAGCTAGCAAAAGGAGTTTTCACGCATCATTGCAAATAATGGATAGTTTAAAACAAAACAAAAATAGGACTCTGCCATATCTAACAAATTCTGAAATTCTGAAATTCTAACAAAAATGAAAACAGTTCATGTATGGCCCAGAGCGGTGCCAAAACATTGTCTTTTTTCTGTACTACAAATAAGACTGCCTGCTTAAAGAAGCTATCGTGGTGTGCCCAGACTCGTATACCTGTTGGATCAACAGCAAATAACAAATGTGAGGTAGGCTGAACTTGATGGACGCAAGTCTCTTTTCAGCTATGTAACTATGTAACTATGTAACTATGTAACTATTGGATCTGCTAGTCTTCAATAATTTAAAAAGTCCCTCATAGCTATCTCTTCAGAGTAGCCTATGGCCTCTCGTAGTAGCTTGTATTTCACAAACCTGTCTCTTAAACGTTTTGTAATCATCCCATTTATTGTTAAATTTCCCCCTTTATAATATTGTAAAGAGCTGCAAAATATGTTGGCGCCATATAAAAAATAATAACAGTAATATGCCATCATATGTTGAGTTAGAGCAGTGTAAACTTCACTAGATGACGATGACATGAATAGCACATCTTTTTATATACAGTTGTGCTCAAAAGTTTGCATACCCCAGCAAAAAAATATATATTTTATTGAAGGATAGTGATCATATAAGGTCATTTATTCTCACATTGTTGTTTGGCTCCTTTTTAAATCATAAAGATAACAGAACTCACCCAAATGCTGTCATTGATGCTAAAGGGACAATACACAGTATTAAGATCTAAGGGTATGCAGACTTTGAACAGGGGTCATTTCATATTTTCTTTGTTGCCATGTTTTGTTTTATGATTGTGCCATACTGTTATAACCTACAGCTGAATATGAATCCCATAAGAAATAAAAGAAATGTGTTTTGCCTGCTCACTCATGTTTTCTTTAAAAATATTACCAATTCTCCAAGGGTATGCAAACTTTTGAGCACATCTGTACCTTTAATGTTTCATCTTACCAATGAAAACCAGATCAACACTCACATATAGATGTCAGTGAATGGTTTAAACTACATCATTTGTGGTCTTTGTGCTCTATTTTAACACTTCTTAGGGATTTGATTTCACATTTAATTTAATTTTGTTTATTTATTTATTTTTTGTTCCAGACTCCCTCGTCTGTGTCAAAAAGGAGAGTGTATTCAGACAGGGAAGGAAAATCTAAACATGTAAAATCACTCTTCCCAAAAGATAAAGTGTCACCTTGTTTGGAGTCATGAATACTGGATCCCTTAATCTTCCAAAAACAACAGAGCCTGCAACACCACTATCACATCATCCCCCAGTGTGATATATAAGTGGCAAAAGTTTACTACAAAAAATATATTTCATTTCTGAAACTGAAATTCTGACAAAAAAACAAAAAACGGAGAGGCGGGGCCTGATCATCATTGCGGTCAGGCACAATTGTGAAAGATCCTCTGCCACCTTATTGAATTCTGCGACACATCAAACCTTTGCACTCTCACCTGGCTTTCTCTGGGACTTACATACTGTGGCGAAAGTAACCTTGTCACTGGTACTTGGAGGGGCCCGCTTGCCAGCCTCTTGCCCCATGATTATGGGCCCTGCAAAAAGACATGTTAAAAAGTGACTTCCATGGAAAAACCAAACCACTGAACTGATCTGGGTGATTTTTGGATTTGTTGGTCACCCAGATCAGGGCTATCCGAGGATGTGACTCTTGTGAGGTTTCCATGGATCTTGGGGGTACTTTTGGGGTGTTTGTAAATTGTGTGTTTTTCTGTACCTGGAAATAATTAATTATCTCTCAGACACAGAGGAGGAGTATGTTAAATATATTGCTTGCCTGTGCCTCTCCCCCTCCCCCATTTTCCTGTCCTACTGTTTCCCCAGCAGGGTGTTGTCCCAGGGACACTGCCAGACCAGTTCAAAACTGGCTGCTTTGTCCCTCCTCAATCTCCCATCAGCCCTTGCTATTGTCTGACCCCACCCTTCCTTGTACTATAGTGCTCTATGTAATTGTATGTAAATGCGGCTGTTGGGGATTTAAATGTGTGTATAAATTGTAAGTGCTGGCTTGCATTAAACAGACCTGCTGTACCCCTTCATGAAGTCTTGGCTCATGTTTGGGGGATTGGAAAGCTACACTCTGGGGATTGCTATAATCGCTATACTCCCCAGGGTATAATCACTAGCTCTTGTAAGAGCTTGTTCTTGCTACGCTCTCCGTAGTAACAAAATTTTCAATTTAAAAAAAAAAGACTTTTATGCATTTAAGTTTTTGGAAGCTGGACCCTGTTCTTGAGTCCAGGGTGGGTGAAGGACTGCGAGACCCCAGCGCAGCTGCATCACTGGACGTGGTGTCTGCAGTACTTATGGTGTCTGGTGGAGTGCTTGTAGCCCTTGGAAAGCACTAGGAGCATCGATTGGCAGAGGTACTCGGTTGGAGTGCCGGCGGTCCGTCACACATACATTCTGTCACAAGCTGTGTGCTTTTGCATTCCAAAAGTTCCAGCTACCAGTCTGCTTGCTGCGCCGAGTAAGGCCTAGTGGAGTCATCGGGAGGTGGCCGCTCTCCTGACCCGTAAAGCACAGACTTGGTGAAAAGTTCTCCTGCATCCCCATTCTTGCCCCCTCCCCCCCAGGTCACCTATACTTTCCTCCTTCGTTGATTGCTTTCCGCTCTGGCCAACTTCTCCTGAGTCATTGACCAAGACAAGATGGTGGACACACATTTTCGGTGCGTTCAAGCCTGACGCGGCCCCAGCCCTGCTCAATTGAAAGCTCCCTATTGAATCTTTAGGCAATAGTTGCTTACTTCTGGGCAACACTGGAAGCAAGAATAACGGCACCTCCTTGCCAGACTCTGAAAAATGCTCAGGAGGGTGGGAAGCCTGGAGAGGGGAGACCTCCTCCGGGGTCAGCGATGTCGCAGGTGACTGATTTTAATTTTATTCGCCCTCCTAGACTGCAGGCCCCAAAGGATTATACCCCATAGCAATATCCACATGGGTGAAAGACTTTTGACATCAAAGCCTTCTACTACTCCCCAAGTGTGATGGACTTTGACCGTCTGGAGCTCCCAAGTCCATGGATTGACGTTGCCAGGCCTGGGGCGGAGGATTCAAATCACCTTGTTCCTGCTTTATCTCCCCCAAAGATTGCCCTGCAGATCCCATGCGCCTCCCGATGGCTAGGGTCGGCTGATAATGGACTTGCCTACCTACTTGTACAGACGTTTAGCTTATAGTTGTGTACCTATATGATACTAAGAGATGTCTTGTATACATTTATTGAGTGCAGCTTTTGTTTTGACTTACTTATTTTTTTTACTTTGTTAGCTGTAACAGTGTCTTAGGGTCCAATGATTCTCTTCCAAGCAAACTTATCACTTTCGCAGTTATTACTATTGTCTAGTCTGATCTTTTCACTGCTTAGTTTAGATATTTGTTTCCTACCTAGACAGGTTAGTTCACCCTACTTATGTAAGATTTGCCTAGCTCATTTTCTTTGTCCTGTCATTTAGTATCCCGTATTATAAAACAGTGCAGAATCTTGGCATTTCTTTATATATTTCTCATCTGTGCATTGTTGATTATAATCTCCAGAAATGTCTCTGTGTCTATGTCATGCCATGCACTGTTAAAATGAAGAATGTATATAAAAAAAAAATAGATGCAGGCTACTTTAGACATGGTGTTTGATATATAAAGGGAAGTAAACATAAAAAAAAAAACCTCTATATGTCATGTATGATTTAAGCATGTAACACAATTTTCAATTTAAAAAAAAAGACTTTTATGCATTTAAGTTTTTGGAAATTCATCCACCGTTGCATTCATAGTTCCATAGTTGGGAGAAAACAAAAAGAAGAGTCAGCGCTAGGCTGCCACAGAGAGATATGTTATACACAGTAAACGGCTGCACACCTCAAAGAAAAAGGGGAGTCCCCTCTTGGATATATACTTGAGATTCGGTGAAGCATATGTGGAAAGAAAACAAGAACAGGACTCCAATGGTACAGTATGTAGACAAATTAAATTATAAAATAGTGGTAATCAGTATTACTCACACTTTGCAGAGCTAAAGTCCAGCTCTGGTATTGGATGCGTGAAGTGGAATAATCCCCACTCAAGGATATGTGAAGTGGCGCTGGTTGGCAGATATATGAGACGAATCTGAAGTCCAGTGTTGGTATGGTCCAGCCCAAAAGTAAAAAGAGTAAAATATAGTGCTCTCTGTTTTCTGAATAAAAAATTTTTTTTAAGAAATATTAAATTTACTCACAATATTTAGAGCAGGCTTATACTGCTCGATGTAAGCGTATGGGTGGTATAATCCCCACCTACAGATTCTTTGTGCTTCTTTATTAAGTGCTGAATATCAATGTAGCCAGGTAAAAACGTGTAGAGTAAAAAAAGAATGATAAAAAAGGAATATGGCAATCAAAATGTTTTGTGCCCAAAGAATTCCTTTATTACAATATAGTAAAAACAGTATCTGGATGCGTTTCGCCTAAAAAGGCTTCTTCAAGTAGATAATAAAAAAAGTATTATCTACTTAAGGAAGCCTTTTTAGGAGAAACGCGTCTAGACACTGTTTTTACTGTATTGTAATAAAGGAATTATTAATAAAGGAATTATTTAAAAATGGTGCTCTCAGTACAGTGTATCACAACTTCCAACAGGCCCAGCAAGGCAGTAGGCAGATTGGAATCTCGCCCACACTCAAAAAGAAACGATCATACAGAAGACACGTATCCACTCAGAGGACATAGAGTAGAGGGTAAGTGTCAGGTTCCTATCCTGACAACTAAGAATTTTGTTTCTTTTGTTTGTGTTTTTTGTTTTTTTTAAATGTTCCATTTTTCTTCACTAGTGGCCTCCAGAGCCACTAATATGAACAAACTTTCTCTCACCTGTCTATCATATCAGTTCAACCTGCTATAAGAGCTCACACCCTGCTAGACAATTGGCCTTGACATTGATTGTAGTGGAGTTTTGATCCTGGCAAGACTACAGATCCTGGCTCCTTCTGCAAAAACCTGGTCGATCCTGGAATTTCATTCAACCTGATTTATTCCGTTCAACCTGCTACTTTCCAAACTTGCTTATTATCCATACGTTTGGAGAAAATCTATACATACGCTTGGAGGTAAACTAATCTGTGAATGCTACCTGTATTATACATTACTGGACTTGGATTTAATATTGAATTGTTACTGAATTTACGGTAGACTACTTTACCAACGTGGAGATTACAAACCTCCTTGGTAATTAGAATTATCCTAAAGGACTCTAATTCATCTAGCCCAAAATCCTACTATTCAACCTGCAAACCAAAAGAGGCTTATCCACTAAATGCCTCACTTACCTGTATTACTTTAACCTTTATATTTCTGTTTAGTTCAGTCTATTGTATTGTTTTTCTGTAACCTATAATTCTCAGTTATAAGTTTTCTTCTCTTTATTTCTTGTAATATCTATTCTGTTATCATGTTGCTAAAAATCCTGCCTGGGGCATATTGCCTATTATTATTATTATTGTTATTATTTATATAGCGCCATCACATTCCGTAGCGCTTTACAATGGGTTGACTAACAGACATGTAACTGTAACCAGACAACTGGACGCACAGGAACAGAGAGGTAAACCTTTTATTTCAGTAATCCCCTGCTACCTTACCTAGAACTTCCTTTTTATATATTCTTTCTTACTACTACATATATATATATATTCTGCTTCCTGTTAATCCTGCCTAGGGCTTATTGCCTAAATCAAAATTTCTTAGTACACACAATACTTTCCTGTAATTACATTTATCGATTCTTCTTATTTTCACTTTCTAATAGTCCTGCTATTCTTATTGTTTTCAAGACAAATCATGTCTAAATCAAAAATAAAGACCCTGAAGTTTGTAAAATGAATTAGTTTAGAAGATTAGATGCAGATATAATAAATATGATGCAATTTGTACAGAAATATATCTATCGGCAAAAATAAACAACTTATTTTTTTCTTATTAAATATATAGTACAGAGACCATAAGTGTATGCAAAAACATAGATACCACAAAAGTCTACGCATTTCACTCCCGCTAACAGCGCTTACTACGTCAGGCCAGTCCTCCTAAGGAGAACTCAACATTTCGATGTGCACAAATAACTCATTTTATATATGTTATTTATGTTTTATACAAGTGTTAGGAGTCCAGTCTGTAATTTGGTTCTGTGACTTAATACAAACCGGATATACTAATAGGAGATTTTTGTAATCATACAAAGAGGAATGTTTGTACCCATGCAGTAAAAACACTTTAAAAATGTTTTTTTTTTTTTAAATTACTCTGAACAACTCCTACACATGTTAAAATGAACCTGTAATCTTTTCGGGCCCATAGTTTCTCTTCTATCGCTGCCAGCACTGTCCGCCCCGCTTTGCTACTAGAAATAAGTTCGATAGAAATTACTTACCTCGTTCCAGCATTTAGACTCCACTCCTGCAGCCACCCACGCCACCATTTGAAGATGTCTGCATGCCTGACATTTGTTCTCCCATCTTAATTATTGTGTATGCATTAGGGAAATTTGGTTTGGCATTCCGAAAATCGGCGGTTCTGTTCGGGACTTTGGCACTTCGGGTAAGTGTAGGGTTAGGAGTAGGTGTGGGGTTAGGAGTAGGGTCAAGGTTAGGGGTAGAGGTACCCTAACTATAACCCTACTCCTAGCCCAACCCTACCACAATCCTACCCCTACCTGTTTTGCCACTTTTCAGACGTCCGAAGCACTTCGGCCATTCGGAAGCATCCGAATGTCCGAATTTTCATTCAAACCGAACCAAATTGCACATGTCTACTATGCATTGTTGTTGTAGCGGAATGCAGTAAGCCTGTCCTATAACCTGCCTGTGTGATTATCTTTTGTACATTCTGCCTGTGTTACTTCTCCCATTTCGTATGTTGTATTGTGTGAATATATGCTATTCGGTAGTTTCCATCCGTACCATATACGTATGGAAACTACCGAACGGATAGACCACCCCAGAGAGAAGTGTGTTGGTAATTAAGGTTGCATACCGTGAAAACCGCAAGTTAACAATGTATCTGGGTGGCCGCCATTCGGCATGCGTACACGTGGCGGCGGCCATCTTACGCATGAAAAGCTCAGCGGTGTTCGGTCGTCGAGTGTCTGGAACCCAAATCGGATACTCAAACAACCGAACATCGCTGAGACCTCCGGAGTTCCGTATCTGGCGAACGGAAAGTCTGAACAACTCCCCATTCGGTAGAAACAAAGTACCGAATGGGGGAATCAGTATCTAGGCGAATATAAGTGTAAAGGGCCAGTATCAATGTGTGTTTTAACTGCCGAACGGAGACCGACCGCAGGGCCCAAACTCATGGAACCCTTTTCGGATACCAACTCGTGTGCGGTCGGTCAAACTTCACCTCTCTATAACTGCCGAACCCCTGGTCTGATCTGGGTGAATTTTGGATATAATAGTCACCCAGATCAGGGCTACCTAGCGGTACTCTAATATTAAGGTTGTATAATGGTTTAGGGGTACATCTAGGTTCGGGGTGAATTGCTGTACCAGTTAAGGGGATTATGACTCACTCTGAGGGGAGGAGAGGTGTGGGAGGTAACAAGCACTGTATTGGCTAATGTCATAATTCATGTTGTTCCCTCCCTTGCATGGGAGCAGGCTTTATAAAGAACTGTGGAATAAATGAGAGTTAGTTCTTCTACTCCTGAAACTGTGTGTCGTCCAGTTATTGGGAGTGTCGTGGGGATATTGCTGTACCTGTTACCTGATGGAAAACTATGCTGTGGATTTACTACTGACTCGTTCCTGAGCCTCACTAGGATCTTAAGCGGAGAATAGCTGTGAGAGATCAGCTCTCCGCTACATTGGTTGGCAGCGCTGGGATCCAGACTCACAGAGGAACAGGGATTAATGGAGATTGACCTTGCTACCCTAAAGAGATCCACATTGAAAGACCTCCTGGAAGCAAAAGGTGTTTCAGCCAGCAGCAAATCTAAAGCGACACTCATAACTGAAGTGATGGCAGAATACGGGGCAGAAGAGGTCCAGGCCACAGAACAAAGACCAGAAACAGAACAAGAGGAGTTCCAGAGACAGTTACAATTCAGGTTGGCCTTTTATGGGGAAAACCCACCGACAGAGATCATTGCTAAAACCATGACAGAGGTGCAGGAGTTTGTAATGAGCAAAAGGAGGCCACAAGCACCAGAAAGGAGTACAGCAGGAGCTGTGGCACAAGAGGGTAAGCCCAAAATCCCCTATCAAGCGTTTAAAACATATGTGGAAGCAGAGGAGGATATAGATGCCTTCCTGCAGGACTTTGAAAGACTGTGTACGCTGCATAACATACCAAGGGAAGAGTGGGTACCCGTATTAGCAGGACGGCTGTCCGGGAGGGCAGCGGAAGCTTACCGTACTATACCTGACACAGAGATCAGGAACTATAACCGTGTAAAAGAGGTTATCCTAGCTAGGTATGCAATGACACCAGAGGCATACCGGAGACGTTTCAGAGAGCTGAAAAAGGCTGACAAGGACTCTCACGCAGAGTGGGCTTGCCGACTAGAAAGGGCAGCTCTTGGGTGGATGCAGTCAAGTAAAGCGCGGTCCATGGAGGACTTGTTGCAATTGTTGCTATTGGAACAGTTCTATGAGGGGATATCTGCAGAACTGCAGGAATGGGTGAGGGACCGGAACCCCACCTCCCTCACCGAGGCTGCTAAAAAGGCAGATGACTTTATGGATGCCCGCAGGCAAACCAAGGCAGTGAGTACCAAACCTGCCCTGCGACCGCTGGGGGGAAACTCCTTTGTCCCTAACCCTCAGCCTCCACCAAGGCAACTTCCTCCACCGGCACCGGCAGCGGCGCAAACGAGATATCGCACACCTGCCTCTGTGCAATGCCACCGGTGCCAGAAGTGGGGACATTTCCAGCGAGATTGTCCACAGCCGAGAGATCGTACCACCTGGATCCGACCAGGGCCTCCACCACCACCACCGAGAGCAGCAGCACATCACTACCAGGAAGAGGTACCACTTCCCTACAACTCTGCCGTTCCAGTCACGACTGTGGAACAGTGGGAAGTGCTGCATGAGGCCAACCCATTACAGGCCCAAGCGGACAATCGACAGCACCATAGGCAGACCGTATATCTAGACGGGAAACCTATGCAAGGACTCAGAGACTCGGGAGCCACCATCACCCTAGTGCAAAGCCATTTGGTCGCTGACAAGGCCAAACTTAACAAGACTGTGGCGGTCCGAGTTGCAGGGGGAGCCGTGTATCGGCTAGACACAGCCAGGGTACACTTGCATTGGGGTGCGGGGTTCGGGAATGTGGAAGTGGGATTAATGCCGCAATTGCCTGCCGAAGTGGTCCTAGGGAATGACCTGGGCCGACTCACTTCCACCTTTGAGCCCCAAACTACTGAGGAAGCGCACCCAGTAGTCACCAGGCAACAGGCCCGCACCCAGACCAACAACGCACTGCCGGAGGTCCAGGTAAGAGATCCTTCCCCGTCCCTAGACTGTCTCCCTTGGGCCCCTCCTGCCGAATTTGTAGCCGAGGTGACCACTGACCCTACCTTACAGGTATACCGAGACAAGGTCACCTCTAACCAACCGGGGGCGGAGGGGGAAAGATTTGTGTGGGACCGACAGTTATTGTACCGAGAAACGAGTAAACAGGTAGAGGGGTCAGACCCCATCACTGCAAGACAGTTAGTAGTACCACAGAGGTACCGAACCGAATTACTCCGGATAGCACACGATATCCCGCTATCTGGACATTTAGGGGTCAGTCGTACCAGATATCGACTAACCCAAAATTTCTTCTGGCCAGGGATTAGCCAGGAGGTGCGCAGGTATTGTAGCACCTGCGATACATGCCAGAGGGTAGGGAAGAGGGGGGACAGGCGTAAGGCTAAGCTACACCCGCTTCCCATAATCGAAGAACCCTTTCATAGGGTCGCAGTAGATATTGTAGGTCCCCTCCGGAAACCTAGCCCATCGGGCAAACGGTACATCTTGACCGTAGTGGACTATGCCACTCGCTACCCCGAGGCAGTGGCCCTAACCAACATCCATGCAGAGACGGTGGCTGAAGCGCTGATGCAGATTTTCTCCCGGATGGGGTTACCCAGGGAGATCATCTCGGATCAGGGCACTCAGTTCACGGCAGAGATCACCCAACAGCTTTGGAAACTGTGTAATGTTAAGCCCATCATTAGTGCCCCTTACCACCCTCAGACCAATGGGCTTTGCGAGCGGTTCAATGGCACTTTAAAACAGATGCTCCGAACCTTCGCAGAAACCCATCGGGACTGGGAGAAGTTCCTGCCGCACCTACTGTTCGCATACAGGGAGGTGCCGCAAGAATCTACGGGATTCTCCCCCTTTGAACTGCTATTCGGGAGAAGGGTCAGGGGGCCCCTAGACTTAATTAGAGAGCATTGGGAGGGAGACCGTAGCGCAGACGGCACCCCTATTGTACCATATGTGTTGGCACTCCGAGATCGCCTGGAAGCCCTCACAAAGACGGTAAAGGAAAACCTACAGGCGGCGCAGACGCGTCAGCGCACTTGGTACGATAGGGGCGCCAGGGACCGTAGCTTCCAGGTCGGGCAGAAAGTTTTAATTTTAAAACCTGTCCGACACGATAAGCTACAGGCCGCCTGGCAAGGCCCTTATAAAGTGGTAGAACAACGATGTGACACCACTTATATAATTGGCCACTGCGCAGGAACTGGAGGGCGACGCATGATTCATGTAAACATGATGAAGCCCTACCAGGAACGCTCAGAGGAGGTGACCGCTATCTGCGCACCCACCTCTGAGGAAGGCGACAGCCTACCTCTCCCCGATCTGTTAGAAGACGGGCAGCTGGCTGGAGATTTAGGGGCAGTCGTACTGGGGGATCGGTTGAGCCCACAGGAGCGTATCGAGGTACAACAGCTACTGCAAGAAAAGCAGGAGACCTTTTCCAATGTACCTGGATACACCCCTCTGGCCACCCACCGAGTAGAAACCCCAGGGCAACTCCCCATGCGCCAGCCCTCGTACCGCATCCCTGAAGCGGTACGTGAGAACATGCGCAAAGAAATTGAGGAGATGATTCAGTTAGGAGTCATTGAACCCTCAGATAGCCCCTGGGCTTCGCCGGTGGTCCTCGTACCAAAACGGGACGGCACGACCCGCTTTTGCGTGGACTACCGGAGGTTGAATGAGAAGACGGTATCCGACGCATACCCGATGCCCAGAATAGACGAGCTACTAGACCGGATGGCCAGGGGCCAATACCTTACCACTATTGACTTGTGTAAAGGGTATTGGCAGATCCCCTTAGCCCCGGACGCCATCCCTAAGTCCGCTTTTGTCACCCCATTCGGCCTGTACCAATTCAAGGTCATGCCGTTTGGGATGAAAAACGCGCCGGCTACCTTCCAGCGGATGGTGGATCGCCTCCTAGATGGGTTCCAGGACTACACCTGCGCCTATCTCGATGATATTGCCATATTTAGCGATACCTGGCAGGAGCACTTGGCCCATATAGGAGCGGTCCTAGACCGAATCAGAGAAGCGGGTTTGACCCTGAAACCCGCTAAGTGTAGCATTGGAATGGCCGAGGTACAGTACCTGGGCCACCGAGTGGGCTGTGGGAAACAAAAGCCAGAACCCGCCAAAGTAGAGGCGGTAGCCCAATGGCCCACCCCGAGGACTAAAACCCAGGTGTTAGCCTTCCTAGGAACAGCAGGGTACTACCAAAAGTTTGTCCCCAATTACAGTGCGCTGGCCAAACCTCTCACTGACCTGACTCGTAAAAACCTTCCCCGCCAAGTAACCTGGACCCCGGAGTGCGAACAGGCATTCCAACACCTGAAAGATGCCCTTGTTAATGCCCCTGTCTTGGCCGCTCCCAATCCAACTAAACGTTTTCTTGTCCACACAGACGCTTCTATGTTTGGATTGGGGGCAGTATTGAGCCAAGTCGGGGCAGATGGCGGAGAACACCCCGTGGCTTACATCAGTCGCAAACTTTTACCCCGAGAAGTAAGCTACGCCGCCATCGAGAAGGAATGCCTGGCTGTGGTGTGGGCCTTGAAGAAATTGCAGCCTTATTTGTATGGACAGGCTTTTTCCCTGCTCACGGATCACAACCCGTTAGTCTGGCTGAACCGGGTGGCTGGGGACAATGCCAGGCTGCTGCGCTGGAGTTTGGCGCTGCAGCCTTTTGACTTTAATATTCAGTACCGCCCGGGAAAGCAGAATGGAAACGCCGACGGGTTGTCTCGACAAACTGATCTTGAAAAATGATCCGTGAGCACCCCGGTCATCCCCAAGCCGATCCGTAAGGGATCAGACTGTGTATGCCGGCTTGTGGGCAAGGGGGAGCAGTGTAGCGGAATGCAGTAAGCCTGTCCTATAACCTGCCTGTGTGATTATCTTTTGTACATTCTGCCTGTGTTACTTCTCCCATTTCGTATGTTGTATTGTGTGAATATATGCTATTCGGTAGTTTCCATCCGTACCATATACGTATGGAAACTACCGAACTGATAGACCACCCCAGAGAGAAGTGTGTTGGTAATTAAGGTTGCATACCGTGAAAACCGCAAGTTAACAATGTATCTGGGTGGCCGCCATTCGGCATGCGTACACGTGGCGGCGGCCATCTTACGCATGAAAAGCTCAGCGGTGTTCGGTCGTCGAGTGTCTGGAACCCAAATCGGATACTCAAACAACCGAACATCGCTGAGACCTCCGGAGTTCCGTATCTGGCGAACGGAAAGTCTGAACAACTCCCCATTCGGTAGAAACAAAGTACCGAATGGGGGAATCAGTATCTAGGCGAATATAAGTGTAAAGGGCCAGTATCAATGTGTGTTTTAACTGCCGAACGGAGACCGACCGCAGGGCCCAAACTCATGGAACCCTTTTCGGATACCAACTCGTGTGCGGTCGGTCAAACTTCACCTCTCTATAACTGCCGAACCCCTGGTCTGATCTGGGTGAATTTTGGATATAATAGTCACCCAGATCAGGGCTACCTAGCGGTACTCTAATATTAAGGTTGTATAATGGTTTAGGGGTACATCTAGGTTCGGGGTGAATTGCTGTACCAGTTAAGGGGATTATGACTCACTCTGAGGGGAGGAGAGGTGTGGGAGGTAACAAGCACTGTATTGGCTAATGTCATAATTCATGTTGTTCCCTCCCTTGCATGGGAGCAGGCTTTATAAAGAACTGTGGAATAAATGAGAGTTAGTTCTTCTACTCCTGAAACTGTGTGTCGTCCAGTTATTGGGAGTGTCGTGGGGATATTGCTGTACCTGTTACCTGATGGAAAACTATGCTGTGGATTTACTACTGACTCGTTCCTGAGCCTCACTAGGATCTTAAGCGGAGAATAGCTGTGAGAGATCAGCTCTCCGCTACAGTTGTGGCTGGGATTGTGGTGTTGGGAATTTAAATTAAAGGCCACTTTCCCTATAATGGGGATCTAGTTTATTTTTTTTGGAAATGTTCAATAAATGTGAAATGTGAAATTAATTAAATCCCAGAGGGTCTCTGGTGTCCTTGGCGAGAAGCTGTATCCCCAACCATGAAAAAGTAAACATTTCAGTTTTTGGTTTTTCTTGTCTGCATTTCCATGGTAAGTATTCAGGGCTGGACTGGGAAGAAAAATTCCAGGGCAGACCATGTGCAAAGCTAAGATGAAGAGCTCTAGCATGAGTAAAAGTCCCTGTATTTGTTCTGCACTTCGCAAGCAAATTTAGTAACATGCTTGTGTTGTGTTTGCTTGAAACTTGTCTCTGGTGTCTCCATAAATGGGGTACCCGGAGCCAAAAATGCCAGGAAGAGTGTGTTTGGAGCCTACTTATCGGATTGTGTGTGTGTAGAATGAGTTGATTGTTGTGTGGTATTGTGTTAATAGGTTGGTTTCAGTCATAGTGTGTGTGTGTGTGTGTGTTCGTAGAGGATTCAGAGTGTGAACATATATAGATGACTCAGAGTTATGTAAAGGATCTAGTGTGTGTGTTTGGAATGTAATGTGTGTAAGGGGTTCTGTAGTTTGTGTGTGTGTGTGTGTCTGTGTTTGGAAGTATTGTGTGTGTGTTGGGGGGGCTGCTGTGTGTGAAGGGTATAGTGCGTATGTGTGAGGAGAATAGTGTGAGTGAGGGTGATGTGTGTTTGGAGGGAGGCAGGTTAATCATCCTCAAATCATGAATATATATTTACACACACATATTTATAGTTGTGTGATGATGGTGATGTGCCAAAGAAATGCTTGTTGCCATATTGCAAGCACAGTACACGCACATCCCACCTTATGACAAAAACAACATAAGTAAAACACCTTATTTTTAAATGCATAACTCAAGGACATCACACCATACCAGTGACAGACTGGGGATAAACACCAGCTCTGGAAATAATTGTATACCAGACCCATAGCATTGTGTCATTATGCCAGCTCCATATCATAACATTATTTTCTTGTTCATAAGAGGGAAAACCATGCATTTTAAAGCACATTTGAATAGTGTATTATTTATAGATAAAACTGATCTATAACCCTGCACAGTGCAATATACACCCCTGGTATGTACACAAGGTTATATCTCACACACTGTCCTGAAATACAATTGTGCTCAAAAGTTTGCATACCCTGGCAGAAATTGTGAAATGTTGTAATTGATTTTGAAAGTATGACCGATCATGAAAAAAAAAATGTTTTATTGAAGGATAATGATCATTTGAAACAATGTATTATCACAGGGTTGTTTGGCTCCTTTTTCACGATGTTAACAGAAATCACCCAAATGGACCTCACCAAAAGTTTACATACCCTTGAATGTTTGGCCTTGTTACATTCACACAAGGTGACACACACAGATTGAAATGGCAATTAAAGATTAATTTCCCACACCTGTGGATTTTTAAATTGTAATTAGTGTTTGTATATAAATAGTCAACGAGTTTGTTAGCTGTCACGTGAATGCACTCAGCAGGCAAGATACTGAGCCATGGAGGGCAGAAAAGAACTATCACAAGACCTGCGTAACAAGGTAATGGAACTTCATAAAGATGGAAAATTATATAAAAAGATATTCAACACCTTAGAAAAAATGCCAGTCAGTACTGTTCAATCATTGACGGTCGAATACCGGGAGCTCCTGCGGCCAAACAAGTGGGGGCTCCCCTGGCTCTCTGGGAGCGATTGTCCCCTTCGGTCTGTAGTATCTTCCTTTTAAATACCGCTTTCCTGGCAGCTTGGAAATGGGGCAAAACAGTGGGTAAAGGTGAAAGTGGAGGAGAGGATTGAGTGGCCGATTATAGTTCCATTCGGTTATCAGTTAAGTACCGCTGAGGACATTTCAGTAGTTTGTATGGCCGAATGACTGCCGGTGAGGGAGTGCTGAACCAGGGGATAGTGAATAGTTCTCTTGGGGAAGCCGTGCATGTTAACTTTCTAACGGGATTTCCAGAACCGGCCCATAGTCGGTAGGCAGGAGGCCAGTTTCCACACTCCTCGTTTGCGTTTGCCACAAATACCATCCCCACTGTGAAGCATGGTGGTGACTCACTGATGTTTTGGGGGGGTGGGCGGGTGAGCTCTAATGGCACAGGGAAAATTGTTGGCAAGATGAATAAAAAAATACTGGCAGACAACTTGCATTTTCAACTTGCAGAAAAAGGCAGTGGCGTACTAAGGGGGGAGCGGGGGGGCGGTCCGCCCCGGGTGCCACCAGGGTGGGGGGTGCCATGACCAGCCCCGCCGCCCCCCCCATGCTGCAGCCGCCCGAGCGCTCTGTGAAGAGCCTCAGGCGGCTGCAGCTTTGCCCGGGCGGTGCGTCCATGAGGGCGGACCGCACCGCCCGGGCGCAACCTGAGGAGAGGCTGACAGGAGGGAGCGCTCAGCGCTGAGCGCTCCCTCCTGTCACTCCCTCTGTAGTAGAGTGGCCGAGCTCTGCCGCATGCTAGTCTGACGGTAATAGGGAGCAGTTGTTCTGTGCCGACTACGGAAGTGCACACGTGTGCACTTCCTGTTAGTCCCGGCACAGGAACAGCAAAAGCTCCCTGTACCCGCGCGACTATACAGGCCGGCCACCCATACAGGGAGGTAGGGGGGAGGGGAGAAAGAGAGGGGAGAGAGAGAAAAAGGGGTGAGAGAGAGAAATAAGGGGGTGAGAGAGAGAAATAAGAGGTAGAGAGAAAGAAATAAGTGAGAGAGGGGTGAGAAAGAGAACAAGGGGGTGAGAAAGAGAAAGTAAGTGAGAGGAGTGAGAAAAATAAATAAGGGGTGAGAGAGGGTGATAAAAAGAAATAAGAGGGGGTGAGAAAGAGAAATAGGGGTGAGAAAGAAAATGAGGGGGGGTGAGAAAGAGAAATAAGGGGTGAGAAAGAGAAATAAGGGGTGAGAAAGAGAAATAAGGGGTGAGAGAGAGAGATAAGGGGGGTGAGAGAGAGAAATAAGGGGGGGTGAGAGAGAGAAAAGGGGGGTGGGTGAGAAAGAAAAAGAAGGTGGGTGAGAGAGAAAGGAGGGGGGTGAGAGAAAATAGGAGCGGGGGTAAGAGAGAAATTAGGAGGGGGTGAGAAAGAGAAATTGGGAGGAGGAGAAGGAAATTGGAGCGGGAGGAGAGATTGACATTCATCACATACACACAATGCACCCCTTGCACACAGAAAAACACACAGACACACATACACAAGCAATGCAACCGTTACACACAATGCATCCCTTACACACACAGAAACACACAATGCATTCATTACACACACTCAATGCACCCCTTACACACATTCAATGCATCCCATACATACACAGAAACACACCTTGCAGCCCTTACACATACAAACACAATTTCACACAATGCATTCCTTACACACATATCAGGACATCCCCTACACACTCCACCCCCTGTGAACAAACTCATTGGTGGAACATGAAGGTGGACCCTGGGACCCAGACCTTGAGCTGTGTAAAGGACCCCCAAAAAATGGAGCTGCTTCCCGTTCTCCCAGAACATTGATTTTTGTGACCACAGTTACAAACCGCCTCCAGAGAGCCTGTTCTGCACCAGACCAGTGGAGCCAGACTGCAGCTAGAGCCCATCATCATCCTCATCTGGTTGTAAGTAGGCAATCTAGTATATTATTCGTGGCACTAAGCTCTAATTTACCTCACATTAAAGAAACACTATAGTCCCCAGAACCACTTCAGCTTAATGTAGTGGTTCTGGTGTCTATAGCCTGTCCCTGCAGGCCTTTTAATGTAAACACGGCGGCACTGCAGCACTGGCGTTAGTTAACATGGCAAATCATATGGCTGGGGCATTGTGATGTCACATGGGGGGCGGCAAACTTTACTTTTGCCTTGGGCGGCAAAAATCCTTGTACCGGCCCTGGCTGGAGGGGGCTGTGTGAGCTGTGGCCGCACAGTGTCCCATGGTAGTTAGGGTGCCGTGCGGCCAGTACAGCTCACTCAAGCAAACAGCTGATAAACTGGCCGCACGGAGGAAATGTGTATGTGTGACTGTCTGCCTGTGACTGTGTGTGACTGTCTGCCTGTAACTGAGTGTGTGACTGTCTGCCTGGTAACTGAGTGTGTGACTGTCTGTCTGTAACTGAGTGTGTGACTGTCTGCCTGTAAATGTGTGTGTGGGGCTGCAGGGATTTTGTAGAAGGGGGCGGGGGTTTTGTATTGGGACAGGAGTCTTTATAAGAGGGGATAAGCAGGGGATTTGTGGAAGGGGGTTGCGGGGGTTTTGTAGACGGGGCAGTACAGGATTTGTAGAAGGGGCAGGACAGAGGTTTTGTAGGAGGGGCGGGGCAGGACAAGGGTTTTGTAGGAGGGGCTGACAACGGTTTTGCAAAGTTTACAAATTGTAAAATAAAAGAAAGAGAACCTTTAACATTTTTTACAGGTTTTGGGGGGGAGGGTGGGGTGCCAAGCACAGGATCCGCCCCGGGTGCCAAATGCTCTAGGTACGCCCCTGGAAAAAGGTCAAGGTTCTGGAGTGGCCATCACAGTCTCCTGATCTTAATATCATCGAGCCACTCTGGGTAGATCTCAAATGTGCGATTCATGCAAGAGGACCAAAGACTTTGCATGACCTGGAGGCATTTTGCCAAGACGAATGGGCAGCTACAGCACCTGCAAGAATTAGGAGCCTCATAGACAACTATTACAAAAGACTGCATGCTGTCATTGATGCTAAAGGGGACAATACACAGTATTAAGATCTAAGGGTAGGCAGACTTTTGAACATGGGTCATTTCATTTGTTTCTTTGTTGCCATGTTTTGTTTAATGATTGTGCCATTCTGTTATAACCTACAGCTGAATATGAATCCCATGAGAAATAAATGAAATGTGTTTTGCCTGCTTACTCATGTTTTCTTTAAAAATTGTACATATATTACCAATTCTCCAAGGGTATGCAAACGTTTTGAGCACAACTGTATAGTGTAGTAGATTGAATGTATATATGGAGAACACTGGTTAGCAATTATTTTCTCCTTTTTTGTTCCCCTCAGCTTTTTAGCGTTATTTCCTTTTTTCACTTATAGTTTTTTTTTTAACTAATTGAATTAAAAGTTATATTTTATCTATTAATTGTCTAGACCACTTTGGGGTTGCTGTAATAGTACAAGAGCCATAAGGGGACTCTTATCATTTCCCCTTTAGACTATCTTGTACGTTTTTCTTTTCCTTAAATTATAAGTATATATGGGGAAGAAACAAATAAATGCACCCACAATATTTAGAGCCTTCAATCAGCTCTCCCTAAAAGTGTCTTTATTAATTTCAGTATTAAAATTTTCAATATTTAAAAAAAATAAAAATAAAAAAAAAAAATATATATATATATATATATATATATATATAAATTACACTATTAAAGGGTACATATGATGACAAATACAACTCTTAAAGGAGTACAGCAACCATTTCTTTTTATAATACATCTATTTTACTTTTTAATGCCCTATTGGGCACTATTAGCATGTTCACCTCATTTTTCTTTTTTTATTCTTCCACAACCTTACATTGCCATGTAACATTACATCTTCCCTCTCCTTGGTGCAATCAAGAAGCATTTGATTGGACCAACCATAGAGAAACATTCCACTGGACCAATCTCCAGGACCAGAGTTCATGCACATGCTCTGAGACAGGGAGTATAGAGAGGGAGAGGATGGGGGAGACTGGGGAGGCAGGGGATTATTAAATAAATAAATGAATAGCTGTAAAAGCAGTGAGGTGGGGGAAAGTGCAACAAGGGAGGGAGGAAGGGGAGATCCACCTTCAAGGGTTATAGTTCATTATGTCTGTCACCAGCACACTGTGTTATCATAAAACCCTGGTTTTGGTTTTAGTAAAGTAGTAACCCTTTCATGCAAAAACAAAGAAGATGAAACTAGCTTGGTTTTTAGCACAGAGGACATGTTCTCCCTCAGCCCCATCTTCAGATCAGGATAGAGGTCAAGGAGGATGGTGTGAGGGGGATAGCATGGAGAGGGATATGCATATTGGCTGTCTGGTGCCAGTATGCTGTACATGTGGTGTCAGATGCCAATTTTGCACAGAATTTATATTGGCCAGCCTGGAACAAAGCTATTGATGCTGCTTGATGCAAAGCGAAACCTCCTACAGCTAAGAGGTTAATCTCTGTATGTCCCACTGATGACGACCAATGACCAACGACGACCAATGATGCCGCAAGAGCCTCCGGCAACTCTCTATGTATAGCATTTCAAAAGGAATCACTGAAGTGGTCATGGTGTTTGTAGTAACCCTTTAATGATGTCCTAAGATTGTTTAAAGTTTAAAACGCATGATGCATTCTCTTTGTGAGTTAGTGACAGAACTCAACACAACACTAATAACATATCATGACTAGAACAACAAAACACAACATGAATAACACAATATTCATTAAACAAAAGTGTTAATTCCACAATATGAATGTTACAGAGGAGGGGAGTGTTAAGGAGACCCCCACATTGCGTCAATTTATTTCTAAATAGTTTCCTATAAAATCAGGGTTCAGCACTCAGGGACTACAGCTAAAATAGCACCAATTAATGTTACATTGCTTACAGTGTCTATCTACTTTCATTACCGATATACTTAGTAATATTTGCCAAGATTAATTCAATTAATGATCAGCAGGTATATTTTTCATTATGGAATAATAAATACATACTGCCCTATACAATAAACACATCTAACAATATATTAATTCCCCATGGTGTAATATTACAATAAACACATATAACAATATATAATTCCCCATGGTGTAATATTACAATAAACACATATAACAATATATAATTCCCCATGGTGTAATATTACAATAAACACATATAACAATATATAATTCCCCATGGTGTAATATTACAATAAACACATATAACAATATATAATTCCCCATGGTGTAATATTACAATAAACACATATAACAATATAATAATTCCCCATGGTGTAATATTACAATAAACACATATAACAATATATAATTCCCCATGGTGTAATATTACAATAAACACATATAACAATATATAATTCCCCATGGTGTAATATTAAATACATATAACAATATATAATTCCTCATGGTGTAATATTACAATAAACACATATAACAATATAATAATTCCCCATGGTGTAATATTACAATAAATACATATAACAATATAATAATTCCCCATGGTGTAATATTACAATAAACACATATAACAATATAATAATTCGCCATGGTGTAATGTTATAATAAACACATATAACAATATAATAATTCCCCATGGTGTAATGTTACAATAAATACATATAACAATATATAATTCCCCATGGTGTAATATTACAATAAACACATATAACAATATATAATTCCCCATGGTGTAATATTACAATAAACACATATAACAATATATAATTCCCCATGGTGTAATGTTACAATAAACACATATAACAATATAATAATTCCCCATGGTGTAATATTACAATAAACACATATAACAATATATAATTCCCCATGGTGTAATGTTACAATAAACACATATAACAATATATAATTCCCCATGGTGTAATATTACAATAAACACATATAACAATATATAATTCCCCATGGTGTAATATTACAATAAATACATATAACAATATATAATTCCCCATGGTGTAATGTTACAATAAATACATATAACAATATATAATTCCTCATGGTGTAATATTACAATAAATACATATAACAATATATAATTCCCCATGGTGTAATGTTACAATAAACACATATAACAATATAATAATTCCCCATGGTGTAATGTTACAATAAATACATATAACAATATATAATTCCCCATGGTGTAATATTACAATAAACACATATAACAATATATAATTCCCCATGGTGTAATGTTACAATAAACACATATAACAATATATAATTCCCCATGGTGTAATATTAAATACATATAACAATATATAATTCCCCATGGTGTAATATTACAATAAACACATATAACAATATAATAATTCCCCATGGTGTAATATTACAATAAACACATATAACAATATATAATTCCCCATGGTGTAATATTACAATAAACACATATAACAATATATAATTCCCCATGGTGTAATATTACAATAAACACATATAACAATATATAATTCCCCATGGTGTAATGTTACAATAAACACATATAACAATATATAATTCCCCATGGTGTAATGTTACAATAAACACATATAACAATATAATAATTCCCCATGGTGTAATATTACAATAAACACATATAACAATATATAATTCCGCATGGTGTAATATTACAATAAACACATATAACAATATAATAATTCCCCATGGTGTAATGTTACAATAAACACATATAACAATATAATAATTCCCCATGGTGTAATATTACAATAAACACATATAACAATATATAATTCCCCATGGTGTAATATTACAATAAACACATATAACAATATATAATTCCCCATGGTGTAATGTTATAATAAACACATATAACAATATAATAATTCCCCATGGTGTAATGTTATAATAAACATATCACACAGGCAGTTATTGTATTTCCCTCTGAAAGTGAAAGTAAATTATTCTGGCGGTAAAACTGGGCGGTAAAGTCACATTAGAAATTCATATAACTAGTAATATGTCAGTAACAATGTGTGCACAGAGCAGTTTGCTGGCTATTCTCCTATGGCTGCAAGTCACTGACAGCTCAGGTAAGTGATTCACCTCCTGTTACATTGTGTTAATAATTCTACTTACCTGCAATCCTGTATGATACCGAGCACAGAGGGGCAGTTACTGCTACACTATCCGGGTGGGCGTTATTGGGGCATTCTGAAAGAGCTGACACTGAGGGCTTATTCACTAAAGATCGATCTGTGCAGAATGTGAGAGTTTAACCCTTTGTGTGCTGCTGGTATAACGAACTCCCTCTCCCATGGTTTCAGGGTTCAGGGAGGTAGGTGCCCATCACTCACTGTACCTGCTGCCATGCCCTGATACTGGCATAATAAAGGGTCACTACAGGTGGAACAATGTATCTATTTCATGATTTTTGTGGTTAGTATTCGAATCACATGTGCTCGTTCAGGGGTACCTCTACTAAACAGCAAGTTCATGGCCCAGTCTGTGGGTGCCCCAGGCTAGTGCTGATTAGTAGAGGTACCCCTGCCTCGGGAAATTGAATTTCCTAATACTAACTTGCTGTAGTTCAGTTTGCAGTTAGTACAGGAAGCATTATAATAAAAATACACCCTATTCTCTATACATAGACAGACCATTCAGAGTCTATGAAATCAATGTAGCAATACTCCAATGTATCAAACTGGTTTGCAAAAATTCGTCAAATGAAGGTAACAATGGTACAGTGTTTTTAAATGTATTCAAACGCCTATAACACTCCCACACATGATAATCCCTCCCTGGAGACTAGTTACAAGCAAACATCTAACATGCTCCTCCCCTGTGCCTGAGAGATAATTACCTGAACACATAAACATATAATTGTATTATTTCTCAGTACAGAAACATACAAAATAACAAAAACCCCAAAACACATGAAAACCCCACAAAAGTTACATCCCCTGAGAGCCCCGATCTGGGTGACCAAAAGTCACTTAGATCGATTTAGGGGTTCGGGATTTCCATGGAAGTCATAATTTTGACCGACCGTGCACATGGTCCTATGCCCGAAACAGTTCCATTAAATCAGTGCTAACGGTCGGTCAAGTTCGGTAGTTTAAAAACTAACTAATACCAAATGGAATCAGGGCCGGCGCTACCATAAGGCGGCCCAGGCGGCCGCCTTAGGGCGCACTAGCCCTGGGGGCACGACATCAGGCAGACAGGAAGGAGGGAAGCGCACCTGGCTACCCTCCAGCTGGTTACTACTTGTAGAGTGGCCGAGCGCAGCCCAGAGATTCCCGCCCGCGGAGCTCAGCCTCGGCCCGCCCACCTCCTATCCTGGTGTCTGCCGCAGGCTGTGTGGAGGGGGCGGGGATATGAATGACATCATATCCCTGCTCCCTGTGTCCCACACAGCGCGGCTGGCGCCCTGTGATGGGGCTGGGTTGCAGGACTGGACTCCACAGAGCCGGACAGCATGCACCCAGGGGACAAGATTTAACAGATGTGAGTATGTAATTATGTATGTCTCTGTATGTATGTCTCTGTATGTATGTATGTCTCTGTATGTATGTATGTCTCTGTATGTATGTCTCTGTATTTATGTCTGTCTGTCTCTGTATGTATGTATGTCAGTATGTCTCTGTTTGTATGTATGTTTGTCTCTGTATGTCTCTGTATGTATGTTTCTGTATGTATGTCTCTGTATGTATGTATGTATCTATCTCTATGTATGCATGTATGTATGTCTGTCTCTGTGTGTATGTCTCTGTGTGTATGTCTCTGTGTGTATGTCTCTGTATGTATGTCTCTGTATGTATGTATGTATCTATCTCTATGTATGTATGTCTCTGTATGCATGTATGTATCTGTATGCATGCATGTATGTAACTAAATGTTTGTTTGTCTCTGAATGTCTGTATATATATCTCTGTATGCATGTGTGTAACTGTATGCCTTTATGTCTCTGTATGTACGTATGTGTCTGTGTGTCTCTGTATGTATGTTTATGTATGTATGTCTGTATGACGGTTTGCCTCTCTATGTATGAATGTTTGTATGTGTCTGTATGTCTGTATGTCTTGTATGTATGTTTCTGTATGTCTCTGTATGTATGCCTATATGTCTTTGTATGTATGTTTCTGTATGCCTGTATGTCTCTGTATGCCTGTATATATGTATGTGTCTGTATGGCAGTATGTCTCTGTATGCATGCATGTCTCTGTATGCATGCATGTCTTTGTATGCCTGTATGTATGTATGTGTCTGCATGCCTGTATGTTTCTGTATGCCTGTATGTATGTATGTATGTGCCTGGATGTCTTTGTATGTATGTTTCTGTATGTATGTATGTATGTGTCTGTATGACGGTATGCCTCTGTATGTATGCATGTCTTTATATGCCTTCATGTCTCTGTATGCATGTATGTCTTTGCCTGTATGTCTGTATGTCTCTGACTGACTGTATGTGTCTAAATGTCTCTGTATGATTATTTCTGTGTTTGTATGACAGTGTACCTGTATGACTTTGACTGTGTGACTGAAAAATTATGCCTGTGGCTTGGGAGGAAATACACACAGGTGAAGATGCATTTTTTTTTTTTTTTAAAGGAGGTTGAGGGGCACCAAAATGCATGTTCGCCTGTGTAACTAAAAATCCTAGCACCGGCACTGAATGGAATCCATAGTTCTACCCTGGAACACATCGTATTTTGCATGGCCCAAAATCCTGGGGCAGGAGGCGGGCAAGCAGGCTCCTCCAGGAGCTTGTGGCAAACGACCAGACCCAAGGACGTTTGTCACAGTAGGAGCTATTAAATTAATACTCACTCCAGCTAGTGCAGTCACTGCATTTCCAGTACTTCTCTAGCAACCGCAAGGTGTAATTATAACAACTGATATGAAGGCATTGTGTTTGTGGTGATAGAGAGCAGAAGAATGTCCTGCGGGATAATTCTCCTCATCTCCTCCTCCCTCCATTTCTGCTAGCTCAGTGTATGTAAGATGACAGGTACACTTCATGACGGGGAAGGGAGAAGGGAAAAACCTATTCCCCCACCAGTTATATACAGGGCCCTAGACGAAGATCCATTTTGCCGTCCCCTCATGAGATTGTTCCACAAGTTCATTCACTAAACTCCAAAAGGAAGCATTCCACTGATTTCTTTTTTAGTAGATATACCCCAAAAGATAATATGCTTTTTTTTCTGCAAGTGTCCAATCAGAGGCTTCTCACTGAGATGCCTCTTTTCTGGGGCTGCAGTTGTGCACATGTGCACTCGATCACAGCTTTCCCATGTTTCCCTAGTTCAACTCATTGAGAAAGGGAGAAGGCAGATGCATGCTTCTACAGCACGTCTGCCTTTTCTGTTAGCTCTCCGGAGCTAAAGGAAGTGTAAGAAAACCTTCTTGGCTGTGTGACAGACAGGGAGATGTTTTGACCCCAATTATAAAAGGTCCAATTTCTATTGAGATCAGCCATTTTATAAACGGTCAAGAAAATGACAAACTCCAGACATAGAAAGCACTTCAGCAAGTTAAAATACTTTGTGTGGAGTATTCCTCTCTCTTAGCAAACTGCCTTATACATATACACACTCACAAAAAAACTGCCTTATACATATACACACTCACAATGCCTAATACACACACACACACACAATATGCCTTATACATACATGCAAACAAAGTGCTTAATGCACACGCACCGAAACTGACGATAACATACATACACCGAAACATAAAAACTGCATCACACTCATACTCTGCCTAATACATACATAAACTGCCTCACACAAACACACACACTGCTTTATATATACAAATGGGGATATGGCTTTTTTATTTATTTATTTTTTTAAATCTACTTGTCCAAAGGACTTAAGTGGATCAATATGCAGAAACAATGACTCATATATAAACACACTGACCCATACATAATTACACTGCACACTGATACACACCGACACTGACCCATACACAGAAACACACACTGCCACTCACTAATACTGACCCACACTGCACACTGACCCATACACACACTGACACTAACACTGACCCATACACACACACACTGCACACTAACACTGACCCATACACACACACACACTGCACACTAACACTGACCCATACAGAATCACACTGCACATCGACACTCACCAACACTGACCCATACACACACACATACTACACACTGACACTCACTATCATTGACATTAACACTGACCCACACACATACTACACACTGACAATCACGAACACTGACCCATATACCCAAATACACTGCACACGGGCACACACTGACCCATACACACACAAACTGCACATTCTCTGACAGTCTCTCACAGTACAGAATACCGGCAGCCAACACGCTATAAAGAGCAGAATGAGCATGTGACAGGCTGCTGTAGGTATTCTGTACTGTGAGAGACTGTCAGAAAATGTGTTGTTTATGGGGGTGGAGCTAGAATGTTTGGGGCAGGGAAAGGCAAGGTTAGTTGTAGGAGGGGCAGAGTTACCGGTTTGTGAGAGAGCAAAGGCGGGGTAACATCCGTAGCCCCAATGCTTTGATGAAAGCATTTTATCTGGCTGAATTACAAGAGGAGGGCTGCAGCAGTGAGGGGAGGGCACCAGCAGCTCTGTCACAGGCAGAGGCGAGGTCTCTGTATTCTCCATGAGTAAACATTGACAGCTTCATCTCATGACTGCATTACAGCCCCTGCGGGCGCCCCTTCTCACACAGCGCCCTAAGCAACTGCCTAGTCTGCCTATAGGTAACGCCGGCCCTAAACTTCCCCCCCCCCCTCAGTGAGCTTTGACATGTTCAATTCCCAGGAATTGTAGTGGCGAGACACGATGTCCCATTTCCTTGAAATGTCTGGCTACAGACTATGTCATAAGTTGATTCCTAACGGTACGTTTGTGCTCCCCTATGTGTATAGGCAAAAGCCTTGTGGTCTGTCCAACAAATCCTTTGCCACAAGGACATTTGATCAAATACACCACATAATCTGATTGGCAATTTCTAACTCAATCTTGGAACCCAAAGTCAAATGTAAAAAATAATTGGTCTTAATAACATTATTACAGTTCTCACACCTAGCACATTTAAACATCACCTTGGGGGGTGCCATCCACGAGTACAGTTTTATTTTCACTGGCATATAGGAGATCATTCCTAAGGCTTTAAGCCTTTTTAAAAGCCATTATCGGAACTGCTCCAAATGTCTCCTGTAAATCAGCATCCCCACTTAGTAGGTGCCATTGTCTCTTGATTATTTGTGTTATTTGGTTGGATTTGGTTGAAACTGTGTGAACATAAGGTATACGCTTAGGTTGTTGTCCACCCTGTATTAGTGTGGATGTGACCCTTCCCTTTGCATTCTGTAGTACACTCCAGGGATAACCCCTAGCCTCAACATTTCTCATGAAACATTTGACCAAAGGGTGGATGGAATGATGAGAAATTTTGAGGCTAAGGGTTATCCCATTGATTTATTTTTAATAGCTCGTATAATAATTGATAATATGCATCATCAATGTCAATTTTATCTAACCTTAAGTGCATTGAGTAGCTGAGAGCACGGAGTGTACCTGCTCCCAGCACTCTCAGCCGATTGCCTCCATCATAGTTGGTTGACATTGATAACTTGGAAGTATGAATTCCACATTATCATGCAGTCGAGGTTGGTAGAATTCCATTTTATGTCAAACTGTTCCCAATCGAAAGGTATCAACGCAGTGCATTCTATTAATCTAACCACTTAGAATTTTTATAATGTTATTGGAGATGATTACATGTCTTTCCATTAACCAATATATAATTTCTTATATAAGAATACATTTTTTTTTCTTATTAATAGGGTCGCTGCCTGAAGTAAAATGTCGAAATGTAAATCCACCAGCATTGGGGGAGACAGCAACGCTAATATGTGAATTCTCATCGTCACTAGATGTCCTGCAAGTAACATGGCAGGTGGACAAAGATCAGAAACCACAAACCATTGCAACCTACAGCAAAAAGTATGGGGTGAAAATTGTGAACTCTGGTGGTAACTATAATCTTATTAGTCACAAAGAATCGAACATATCAACCATCACTATCTCGGACTTGAAAAAACAAGATGAAGCCTGTTATGTTTGTATCTTCAATGCATTTCCTCATGGAGCCTACAAAAGCGAGATTTGCCTGACGTTTCCCAATGAGTCAGGTACGCACTCGCACTTAGTTTTTATACAAAGCGGAATTGCCCCTTCCTAAGATTTGTAATATGTCTACTTATCCCCTATTTTTTTATATTTTTGTTAAGTATGAAAAATTAAAAGGACACATGCCGCTGCAGTGTTTATAGTGCAAATACCATTTCTCTGCAACCTTTTTTTTTTTAAAAAGGTTTGATTCTGGAGATAAACCTACATACCTCATACAGCCGCGTACCTAGGCTGCCAGCCAGCTTTGTAGCTGGTAATATCATTTTTTGTGTGCAACTTTTGAATCTGGGTGTGTTAACCTAACGCAGGGCTGACGGCGGGAGAGTGGGGCAGATCGGGCTGAAACCCTAATACTTCTCCAGACTGCCATCTAAGCTCTCTAATCGTTCTAGGGCTATCCTTTCCAACTGCACTTCTCTTTTACTTCCCATAACTGTGTATCTGTGAGTATGTGCAACAGTGTGTGTCTGTATGTGTAACAGTTTGTCAAGCTAACAAAAGAAGAGATGCTTGCCTTAAGCACACCCTTTGTCAAGATTGTTAAGAGTAGTTAAACACAAAAGAGAAGAACAAATTCGTAAAGAAAGTTTGAGGTCTTGACACCTCTAGAGCTGGTGGCGATATGTTATCTAAGAATGGTGCAGTGCATGGACCAGATGACCACCCGGTTAGTAGGAATACCTTGTACTATATTAGAGCTAAACACCGCCCCCTCTAAATATCTTCTGTTATCTTCCACTCTCATTCCCTCCCATTCTATACTTCTTCCTTTGTTGGTTCTCACTCTGTCTAGTGGAATTCTTACACTCACATTATGTTTAGCATCGTAAACTCACAATGTTTCCAGCATCCCACTATTCGCTCTCTTTCCCGCACTAGCTCTCATATTGTCTGTATCTTGTTTACATTCAGTCTCATCCTATCCCCCAAATTGTGGCTCTTACCTGATTGAAGTGTCACCTACTACCACGTGTGTCTCCAATAACCCCCTTCTTGTTCCTCTTACTCTCTCGCACTTCTCTTCTCTGTATTGTGTCCTCTCAGACTGCTGTAGAGGACCGTCATTATCCCCTAGCCAATCTGTGAAAGCAGCTCTGGATAAGGCAGACCGTCTACCGCAGTCTGAGAGGCCACGCTATACAGCGTGACAGTTAAGTATGCCACGGATCGCAGTATCTTTCTTGTCCTTTTACAAACACTCTTTTTAGAATCTATCCACTCTCTCTCTAGGAATATGGCACTCACATTGTCTCTGTCACTCAGAAAGTACAGAGAGCAGGGGAAAATGGGAGGGTACACCTACTGAATAATTACCATCTTATTTTACAGCTTTTATCCCCTGCGCATGTAACAGTATTATTATAAACATGTAGCCCAGAGGGTTCCGTTATTATAGTAACCTTGTATGATAAACGAATAAACTCGCATATCACGAGGCTCTAACACACACTATTATCCTGCGCCCTTGTATATATGTTGGTTTGTTTTAATATCTATACACTTTATATCTCACGTTCTTCTGTTTACCCCTTAGGCAAAGTGCAAAACATAGAGTCCAGCAGAGAGAAGCAACAACAGTTTGATAAAATATTCAAAGACAACAAATCTACAAAGAATGGTACATTTACTATTATTTATATAGCACAAAGATATCTTGCAGCTCTTTAAAATAGGAAAACAAGACAAAACATGTTTGAAATATGGGAACAGTAGGCGAAGAGGGCCTACATGAAAGTCTACATGAGCTTACAATCTGAAAGTATTTCTGTTTGTAGAATGTGAGGTGGCTCTTGCAGCGTCTAACCCTCCTGGTATGTGTTATTTGAAATAAAACAATCCGGTGTTATTGCACTTCAGAATTAGGGTTTTCTTTTCCTATGTTTGAACTGATGAACTAGTTGTGATCAGAATTACATCTGATGGCATGTTAATACTACAATTAATCCATCAATGAGTGATTGACTCTGTCAGCTTCACCCACACCATCAAGCGGGAGAACCACTCAGAGGAGGGTTCACCTGCTTAGCAGTCAATATATTTAGATTATACACTGCAATGCCATCGGCACAGTAATTTATCTTTAGGAATGACTGACAGGTGAAATAATTATTTTATTTAGATTTTTTTATTTTTCTATTTATTTTTTACTAAATAGCTATACATTTGCCAGCAATTCTGTTGGCACAACTCAAACAAAACTTGATTACTTTTTGATTTAGCTAAACATGTACTTTTGGCAGGCATGATTTAAAGTCTGTGTTCCAGGGTGGAATCGATGAACAAATACAATTTTAAAACATTATCATTTGAGTTATTTTTCTAGATGTGACTCGCTGTAAAGTCACGTGTTCCTCTGGCGACAGAAATATTATTGATATCGATGTGAAACCTGAAGAAATAATAGACGAGGAGCCAGAAGAACTGACGGAAAACGATGCAGATAGGAAAGTAATTTATAAACGTAAATTCACGTGTGAAGAACCTGGAATAAGACCATCCTGTACTTTTCACACACAGAAGCTCAGCAGAAGGAAGAGAGCTCTTTCAGGTACACCCTGGGGGAGCTGCCGAATTATAATTTTTCAAGTATTTAGATGTGTTGGATGCTGTTTATACTCCACCCACAATTAAAAATCCCCCTTCGGGAAAAAGCAGATTCACCTGATGGAAAATTGAACACTGATTATATACAGATAGCCCAGGGAGATGTTTGATGGATTTGTTGCCAATTGGCAAGTGTAAAGTTAACTTTTTATGCATATTTGCAGACTGCAATGTCATTGTGGTTGAGATGCACAGTTTTAGACAACTTCCTTTGGCTCTCTGCAATAAAGTGCTTAGTTCATTGGCTAAAAACGCCAGCTGATCGCTCTCAGCCTATGGGTTAACCTCTGCATTCCTGGACCTGGCTTAGGAGAGCTAACAGATGTTCCTGTTAAGGAAAGTCCAGATTTTCTGAGATTTTAGAGGGCTGGTTAGGGGCACCTGGCAGATCCCAGATAAGGACGTTAAAGCATTTAAAAATGGTTTGAGTCTTTACAGTGGGGCAGGGCCAGGGCATTCCTGGCACAATAACCATTACAGAAAGCTATAGTGGTTATAGTGCCTGCAGTGTATGTTTAAAGACCGTACCACCAACTTACCCTAAACAATACTTTCTTTGTATCATGTAAATTTCCTTGTCAGATTGTATTAGAATACTCATATCTCATACATTGCCACACACACCATATCAAACATGACATATGTTAAAATACTTTTAAAGCACTTTTTTCTGTATATTTATTAATCAGCCATCAGTTAGCTAAATTGTGTAGATTTTTTTTGTTTTTTCGTATACAGCGAACTAAAAATTTAGAGAACAATGCGAAGACCTCTGTGTGACGAAGAGAAAATACTTAATAAAACCGCTTGTTTAATACACATTCATATTGATAATAAAACTCTAATCTTGTATTTCTGCAGATGAGGAGGATGGCAAAACTATATTTGCTAATTGTTCTGTTACTGGAAAAGCACCTAAAATTATCTGGGAAAATGAAGGAAGCCCAGTTAGTACAATGGAATATGAACTTAAAAAAGATGGCATTGTAACAGTTACCAGTGCTCGCGGGTATTTACAATCTTCTCTTCATGATCAGGAAATAAAATTAACATGTGTTATCACCAGCAAGAATAATAAAGGTGAGTTAATGGCATTTAATATTAGAACTTTATTAAAAGGGGAACTGTCACTTTCCCAGAATTTTTATGTTTACTCATTCTTGTCTTTAACAAATGCCTCTTTGTCCTCCATCTAGATGCCTCTATGTTAGCCATCTGTCTTTTAAATATATACATATATGAGAAAATAAGGGTTTGGCTGCACTCACCTACACATGCTAAATTAGGGTGCTGCTGGGGGCCAATAAGTACAGTAAAAATGAAATTCCAGCGCACTCGCTTTTCTACTAAACAGTCATTTTAATGTAAATGAGCTTCTCACTTGGGGAAATCCTTCCATCTCGAGGTCTCCCCCAAGTGAGTGATTTCCCCAAGCGAGAAGCTCATTTAGCAGACAGAGTAGGACCTGCCAAAGATGGGGTACATTGGCGTTGTGGCAGGCTTATGCAATGTATGATCATATACTGTAACTAAACCCCCATTATATTTTTTTGCCTAGATTAGGTGTTTTTAATAAAACTGAAAATTGTTCAGCATTAAAATGACTGTTTAGTAGATAAGCGAGTGCGCTGGAATTTCATTTTTATTAGCCATCTGTCTATTACACCTGCATAGAGAAAGTATACAGAGAAGAGGAGGAATGGAACAATGTTTCTATTCCCTTCATTTGCAATGCTTGCCCTGGCTTTGCCTTTTCTGAACTGGATTAGAATATCAGAGGACGCTTGGCTAAACTAGTGTCAAGCAATTGGTTGATGGTGGCAGAATAATGGGCCTAACCCAATACTCATCAATAAATATATACAACCGTGTGCCGGGCAAAAAATGGCTTATATAAAAACATCACTTTGTTAATTCTACCTAAAATCATCAACTTAAAAGAAAGCAAAGTAAAATGTATCTGTGATTAAAATAGAGTAATCTGTGGAATGTGAGAAAAACACCAAGTCTGAATTTCAGAAAACTGTCTAATAGGATAAGGTAACTAAATACATTGGCTACATAACTTGCCCAGCTATGTTGATAATATAGCGAAGGTGAAATCTCAGAATACGGACTACTGGGATAAGGTAATTAGATAACAGGGTAATGGGGTGAGGGAGTAATGACTGGAATCGGGTAAGGGTAGAAAACATGCAGACGTAATAGGAGCATTCTTGCCCCGTTAGAACCCTGTAATGGCCTAAATATTGCCCTGTCTGGAGGTAGCCCCTCTTGCTGCATTAGTAAGCTGACAAATAAACGAAAGCATTGTTATCATAGAGACCAACACCACTAAGTCCCTCTATAGTCCCCCGAGAAGCCCCTCACAACACCCTCATTATGTGAACTATGAAAAATAAAATATTAAATAGGTTTGACGTGCATTTTGGCGTGAACAAGTGCCTTTATCGGGAAATATACAGAGTCAGGGACTTGTTATGCACTTCACATAAGAGTATAAATTCTAGGGAAGTGACAGTTCCCCTTTAATCCCTGACAAACTACTATATACAAGTTAAAAAGAATTGCCACCCCCCACATTTAGCACCCAGACTGCTTGTTCTCAACGAAGTGGTCTTGGTGCAGTGTCGCTGTCCTCTTAACCCTCAGTTATAAAATATTGCAGGTTTTGATGTTTACATTGAAGGGTTAAGTCCACCACTAATGACTGTCAGTGCTGGAATAACAAAGTTAAGGGGAAAAAAGTATTTAACCCTGTGTATGCCAAATACGGGGAGGCAACTTAATACCACTAGGGACAGGGACACTATAATGTTAGAAATACTGATTTGTATTCCTAACATTATAGTGATTATTATTATTATTATTATACCCAAATTTGCCCCTTCTTGTCTGATCCAGTGTTTTTCACTCTGCAAGGCTCCATTTGATTTGATTCAAGTTATTCCCAATATGAGATTCATTTGGGAATTAAAGGAATCCATTTGGCTCAGTCTGGTTAGTTTTAGTTGATTCTGAACACAGTGAACTTCCTTAGAGGAATTTTATCAACCAAATATTAGAAAAATTTGTACAACAAAGGCAGATGAATGTTCTTTAGCATATTTGGCATTTTGTGATTCGATATCCAGACGTACATACAGATACATTTTGATACACTCCATGTCCTGTGGCACAAGGAAGCCCTCTCCAGTTACCATGATCATACAACTTCTTACCCCCTCTTAATGCTTGTGTATCTCTTAGCACCTACCATTACCCTCTATTATCTTTTATCCGCCATTTTTTTGTGTCTCTTATTCTTCCAATCCCAGCCCATCAATACGTTGAGCAGCGTGATCTCATAGGACTGTGTTAGAGAATTGCCATTTTCCTCTGCTCAGTTCAAAAGGGAGCTGTTAGCAGCGTACAGAGTGGAAGAGGAATGATATTCATTGTTAGTACAGCTTCCTATCAGGCCAGGAGGAGGATTAATGGAACATTGTAATTTCCTATATATACAGTATATGTGTCCAGAAGAGTGCAGTTCTAAGATACTGAGCAGACTCCCAGAGAGGACCCGAGAATGAGGAATATATACCACCCAGGAGGGGTGAGAAAATAAAGTGTATGTGTGTGTGTGTGTGTGTGTGTATATATATATATATATTTTTTTTTTTATATATATATATATATATATACATATATATATATATAGTTATATTTAAATGTATTTATTTTTATTTAATTCCTCCCATAAAGAACGGAATATTTAATTATTGAAATCAGGACATGACCAGCATTAATCCTCTTGGTTTTTTTCAGGTGAGCAATCCAGAAATATACCAACATATCTGTTAGTGGTAATAACAGCAATAACAATAGCATCTGTAGTAGGATCTGTGTATTTATATACCCAGAGAAATAAAAAGTAAGTAACAAAGTTAAAGAAGCACACTAAACATCATAGACATTAAAGTGTACTGTATCAGTTATTAATATTCTTATTGGTATTTATATTGCGCAACTCATTCCACAGCTATTTCCAATATGTTTCCTGACATTGTCACACAGGAAGGAGCTGATCTGTTTGAGAATGGTTTGACTCTCAGTTGGTGCCCGAGCTGCTTCTGATCGTCACAATGCAGCTAAAAGTGACAGTTCTCATTCTGCTTTAACCTAGTCAATTTTGTCCAAAGTTTTTGGGTACTCATCGGAAAAATCTCCAACTCTTTCTTTTTATTTTACTTAATTCAGCTTAGTCATTTGTCCCAAATCAGCAATTTCCTTCTTCATTTTTCATAATTCAAAGTATAACTTTGGTCTAGAGTCAATAAACCCAATGCTCCGTGATCAGGTCAATTCCATCTCCTCATTCAATCTCAGTTTCTTCTAAAGTGCATTAAAAGGCATGTTTGGTTAAAGATAGAAATATAGTGCAACGTTGGGAAAATAAATATTTTAGTTTAAGAGAGAAATTTTAGTAAATATATATAGCAAATGCTGATAAGCTCTTGTAGATATTTATCATAAACATTGAGCACATGGAGAGAGTTGCATACTTTGTTGAAGGCCAGTCTGTTCATTTTAGGTGATTGGGGACATTACAACTCAGAAGTTAATATGGAAATTGAAAAGTTTAACTAAACAGAAGACGTGATAATAATGAGAAATCACACATTCTTTGAATGCACATGCTTTGTCAAAATGTTATATAAAAGGCTACAAATACTCTATTTACTAAGAGAATTCAAAGAAGAGCCATATGGAACTTACACAGAACAACCAGGGCCCACATACCTAGAGGGAATACATATCTGGTGACCATTATTGATTTCCACTCCCCATCATGACTTGTCCATAAATCCCAAATATGAACTGATGGAGATGCTTCAAAATGGCTTTGCCTCACAGTTAGACGATTCAGTATGTTTTAATCAGTAATCACTATCCAAACACAACCTTATGGGCTTACTACATTTCCTCTTATCCAGGCTTTTGAGTTAGCATTTTAATCATGTATGGAAAATAGAATACGTTGAGTTTTGTGTAAACGAAAAGTGGATTTTAATTTCCCCACATTTTCAGATTAAGAGAAAAATGCTTTTGGGTGGTTAAAAATGAGTCTAGCTTTAAATTAAAGGGACACTTTAGTCACCAGAACACCTACATCTTATTGTATTTGTTCTTGTGAGTATAAGCATTCCCATTCAGATAAAAAGCAGTGTTTACTTGGCCCCCTAGGGATACCTCCAGTGGTCACTCCTTAGATGGCTGCTAGAGGTGCTTCCTGGGGCAGTAGTGCTGCTTCCCGGGGCAGTGCTCCTCTCTCTGCATGGAGACAATGAATTTTCCTCATAGAGATGCATTGAATCAAAGCATCTCTATGAGGAGGTGCTTTTAGGCCAAAACAGTGTTAGGCCCCCACCTCCTTGTTTATTTCAGCCAAACCAATGCTTTCCTATAGGGAAAGCATTGGATTGGCAACAAAAATCTTAAATTCTGATGATGTCACCAAGGAGTCGGATTGGGGGTGGGGCCAGTGCCGGCTGACCTGTGCAGCGCTGGAAATAAGGTGAGTTTTAACCCCTACTAAGTGGGGAGGCAAGCCACCTAAATAGTATTTTTAACACTATAGGGTCAGGAATACATGTTTGGGTTTCTGAGCCTATAGTGTTCCTTTAAAAGGATGAGATCCAGTGTGAATGTCACTGCCATGCTGGTCCGGTGTATTTCTGCAAGGTTACATATCTTGCTCTGTAAGTCAGAATGCCTTTAAAAAATGTCCAACAGTGATGTTTGTCTGAAAAGAAATGTACAAAACATGTGAAATGTGACACGTTTTGTAACTTATGTAACCTATTTTTTCTTTCTTTTTATTAGACAGTCTCTGAAATCAAAGGAGCCACATTCTAAGGAATTATTAAGCCATAAAGATACAGTAAATCAAGATAATGTGCATCATGATTCAATTCATCAAACCCCAGACACCAGGAAATGTGGAGTAAGTACTTAAAGAGCCACTCCAGGCTTCCACACACGTTACAGTTAGTTATATCAGGTGGGTTTATATTATTAAAGGAATACTCCAGGCTCACACACACGTTAGGGGCACTGTGTAGATTAGATTACAGTTAGTTACACTGTGTAGGTTTATATTATTAAAGGGACACTCCAGGCTCACACACACGTTAGGTGCATTGTGTAGGTTAGGTTACAGTTAGTTATACTGGGTGGGTTTATATTATTAAAGGGACAGTCCAGGCTCCCACACATGTTAGGTGCACTGTGTATGTTAGATTACAGTTAGTTACAGTTAGTTACACTGTGTAGGTTTATATTATTAAAGGGACACTCCAGGCTCCCACACACGTTAGATGCACTCTGTAGGTTAGGTTACAGTTAGTTATACTGGGTGGGTTTATATAAATAAAGACACACTCCAGGCTCCCACACACGTTAGGTGCACTGTGTAGGTTACGTTACAGTTAGTTATACTGGGTGGGTTTATATTAATAAAGGGACACTCCAGGCTCCCACACACGTTAGATGCACTGTGTAGGTTACGTTACAGTTAGTTATACTGGGTGGGTTTATATTAATAAAGGGACACTCCAGGCTCCCACACATATTAGCATGCCTGTGAACAGCTCCACAAACAGCAGGATCATCTTAATTTCATGGTCCTGCACTTTATTTGATGCTCTCAACACATTGTTTTGATAGCACTAGGACTGTGCAGAGAGTGCTTAAGGCATTCTCTGTGCACAATCTGCCCTCAGATGCAAGGCAAGCTGACTCATACTCATCAACTCTCCAGGCAGTAAGGACACCACCTTTGGGAATCACCAGTGTTCCAAGTGGAGTTACTGGCATGCATCTTTAAACCCATTATCTCTTCCAATGCTTCCAGTGTTGGAAGATATGTATTAAATGTAATAGATGTTACAGCGAATTATGCTGGGTTGGTCATTTATTATTTTTTATTTTGCACTATACCCACCTTTCTGCGCTAGAAGAATAAGAAGGTGTGGGCAATGCTTTGAATCAACAATAATTCTTTATCAAGCCAATGGCTTGTTACAAAATGGTGCCTTTTCAATTCCAATAAAAGTCTGCTCGGAATGACCCTCATGTGCCCGGAACCTTTTTCTCTTTTACTTCTATGGGTGGGGCACCTTGTGAATACTCCATAATAATATCTGTCTACATAACCCACGTTCCACAACTTGGAGTATTTCCCATTATAAGCATTTTATACTTGAGTTTAGTTTGCTCAGTATTTAATAAACTGAGCTTCTTATTTTCCTCTTCATATTTGAACATATATAATCACATGGATTTCAAGATCAGAGACAAGATGGGTTTTCTTCAGGGAGGTCATGCCAAACTAATCTTATAAAAAAAAAATTGGATTTGGTTACTAAAATAATAAATCAGGGTGTTGCAGTAGACATTGCTTAACTAGATTTCAGTAAGGCTTTTGACACTGTTGCACATAGAAGGCTTATCAATAAACTGCAATCTTTAAGTTTGGATTCCAATATTGTTGAATGGGTTTGGCAGTGGCTGAATTGCTAGCAGAATGCTTGGTTGTATAGGGAGAGGTATTAGCAGTAGAAAGAGGGAAGTGCTCATGCCATTGTACAGAACACTGGTGAGACCTCATTTGGAGTATTGTACACAGTACTGGAGACCGTATCTTCAGAAGGATATTGATACCTTAGAGAGAGTTCAGAGAAGGGCTACTAAACTGGTTCATGGATTTCAGGATAAAACTTACCAGGAAAGGTTAAAGGATCTTAACATGTATAGCTTGGAGGAAAGACGAGACAGGGGGGATATGATAGAAACATTTAAATACATAAAGGGAATCAACACAGTAAAGGAGGAGACTATATTTAAAAGAAGAAAAACTACCACAACAAGAGGACATAGTCTTAAATTAGAGGGGCTAAGGTTTAAAAATAATATCAGGAAGTATTACTTTACTGAAAGGGTAGTGGATGCATGGAATAGCCTTCCAGCTGAAGTGGTAGAGGTTAACACAGTAAAGCAGTTTAAGCATGCGTGGGATAGGCATAAGGCTATCCTAACTATAAGATAAGACTAGGGACTAATGAAAGAATTTAGAAAATTGGGCAGACTAGATGGGCCGAATGGTTCTTATCTGCCGTCACATTCTATGTTTCTATGTTACCTGTAGCATTTTGTAAATGTCTTATATACTGTTAAATAAATAATAATATTGTAAAGCGCTGTGGAATATGTTGGCGCTATATAAATAATGATGATAATAATAATATGTCCTCATATGTAAAGTTAAATCAATAGAAACTTCTCTAGTTCCTGATAATGATTATTAGAATAGTACATAGAATCTATTTCATATACCTTTTTATGTAATGGTGTGTCTTACTAATGAAAAACAGTTAGATCAACACTCTCATATAGATGTCGATTTTTACACATCACATCTGTTATTGTTTTGTTTTTTTGTATTGTTATTTTCTCAAGGATTTTATTTCATATTTCATTTGATTTTTTTTTTTTCAGACTCACGAATCAACTCCAGGAACGTCTGTGTTAAAAAGGAGCATTTATTCAGACAGGAAAAAAAAAAAATCTAAACTTGCAAGACCACTCTTCCCAACAGAAGATGGGTCATCTTGTGAGAAGTCTTGAATACTGGATTCCTTAAAAGGACAATCCATGCACTAAAATAACTTAATCTAAATGAAGTTGTTATGGTGCTAGGAGGCCCCTGGCAACAATCTTACCTGAAGGGGTTAAACCGTTCTTGTAAAGTGCTAGGGTGGCATCTGGCTTCAACAATTTTACATTCTGGAAGTGCGCTGATTTGCTGAGAGTGGTCAGGTGACGATCAGTGACCCCCCATTCACCCTCCAAATCTGGCCTGGAAATCAGTTTTATGAATAGGGAATCACTGATTGGCTGACAGTGTCACCTGACCGCTCTCAGCAAATCAGCGGAGCACCTGCCAGGTGGCACTCCGTGCTTCCGGAATCTGAAACTACTGAAGCCGGGAGGAGTGGGCATCGCCACTGGATGCAACTTTGGGGATAAGCCGTTCGAGTATGGTTTCACCCCTTCTGGTAAGAGTGTCTCCGGGGGGGCCTACTGGCACCATAACAGCTTAATTTAGATGAAGTTATTTTGGTGCCTGGAGTGTCCCTTTAATGTTCCAAAAATGAAGGAACCTCCGTTGCCATAATCAAATCATGCTGTGATACATATGAGGCAAAAAAAAAAAATACTAAAAAGAATATAATTTCTGGAACTGAAAAAACTCTCTGCCATGGATAGCGTCAGCACATGAATACCTCATGGCCAGGCTTACACAGTAATGGAACACTTGACAAGATTTTCACTACAGTAATAAAAAGGTGCACAATATTAATCAATATTAACTATTATCCCAATTGAGTGTTCCTCAAAGTGTTGGGGGAATATGGGGAACAATGGATGTTATGCCAACTATGTTTACAGAAATTCACCCAAGCTTAAAAACATAGCAGACCTTCATACAAGCAGTTGTAGAAGTGCCAAAATATAATTAAGTATTAATCCACCATTACCAAAGGGTTTTGTTTTTTTCTTGAACTGTGTCCATGTGAGGTGTATTTTGAATAATAATGTGTAAGTTTATTGTTAATTCACTACAAGATAAGTCACTACAGCATGTGTTTTCTATTTAATTATGTGTTAAACTGGAATGTATTTTTGTATTATAAATTACTCTGTCATTTTGTACATGTCTGTATTGAGTATATTTTATCCTTGGGATAGTTTGTTTTATAGAAAACAGTTTAATTATAGCTGTTCGGAGTGAGAAGTAACTCATATCATATTAAGCAGGATTGGAGTACCAGACTTAATGGGAAAAATGGCGCTTGCTCTTAGTGTATCACAACTTCCAACAGGTCCAGCATGGCGGTGAGCAGATTGGAAGCTCGCTGGGCACAGTCAAAAGAAATACTCATACAGAATCACACATTTTATAGGGAATCACACAGGATCCAGAGTAAAAGGTAAGGATTGTACGAGAGACAAATGAGGGTATAACATGGGGACCGGAAACCAGAACGACTGAGAATGTAGAATTACAAACTGGATGTTGGAATGTATAAGGTACCAAAAAGGGTCAGGAATGGAACAACAATTAACCAAAAAAGTAGAAGCGCTTGAGAATATATGCAGTTAGGGTTAACATAGGGGCTGATGGAGCTACAGCACAAGGCCCATGTCCATGGAATAGGCCTATTGATTTAAAAAAAAAAATACCTGGCCGGTATTTCTCCTGTATTTGAGGCTGGCTAGCCAGTGCCAGTATTGCAGTAATACCGGCAATACAAATGTCAGTCTCAGTATAAACAGAGATTAATATGCAATACAGGCGCCGGCCAGTAGGGGATGCTGTGTGTGTGGAGTGAGGCAGGGATAGGAAGTTACAGCATTTCCCTCCCTGCCTCTCTCTATTCACTGACCCGATTTCTAAAGACGTTTACTGTAGTTTGACCCACCCACACCGTTAGTTGTGTACATGTGGTAGGCAAATAGTAATTTTCAGGCAATAAACTTTTGCCTAGGCAAATTGTTATTTGACCTTTAAATAGTAATTTGAACTTTTGCCTAACCAGTATTCAAGAAAATTAGCCATTGGGCACCTATTAAATAGCAGAGACTCCTTTCCCATGGTTCCATTTGCCTCAGATGGGCATCCGATTGTCCGAAATTCGTCCGAATTTGCATTTGAAATGAATTGCACATGTCTAATAGTTAGTGAGAGATCCTCTATTTAAAATGTATAAATAATTGAGAATGCAAAATAAGATAAGGATTGCCTTGGAAGCAATAAAGCTTTGTCTTTTTAGATATTTTAATAAAAATATAAATATAGACATATCAATATTAATATGTAATATTTGCATTTGCCCATAACAGTAAGAATTTAGAACAGCCGTCCATTCCCCCTCTCCCTCCTTTAAAGGACCACTATAGTGCCAGGAAAACATACTCGTTTTTTCTGGCACTATAGTGCCCTGAGGGTGCCCCCACCCTCAGGGTCCCCCTCCCGCCGGGCTCTGCGGAGAGGAAGCGGTTAAAATCTTACCTTTCTCCAGCGCTGGGCGTGGAGCTCTCCCCCTCCTCCATAGCGACGTCATCGGCTGGAAGCGCATGCGCGGCAGGAGCCGCACGCGCATTCAGCCAGTTCATAGGAAAGCATTTGCAATGCTTTCCTATGGACGCTGGCGTCTTCTCACTTCAATATTTTTAATTGTCTGCCGCTAGCCAGCAAATAGTTTTGTGGTTTTTTTTTTAAATCAGGGCCCAGAGTTGTAGCCTCCAAGCCCGTATTTAATTCATTTAGGATGTATTTCAGCTGTCCAACAGTGTTTGACCCAGAGGAAATCCGTTTGGGGCCTGAATCTAAAAAAAATAATTGGGATATTGCTGAATTTCATTAACATTTCAAGTTATTCACTGGCTGTGAGTGTTAGTAGCGTTTATGGTGCATAGATTGCTCTTTTAGAGAATGCACTGACATTAATATGCCTGAAGGTTGATTCACTGAATTGTGGAGAACTGACAATACCAATTTTAGGCCAAAATAGTCTAATTCGAAATATACTCAGCTTAGTCGTTTCTGTCTAAAAATTTTCCTCATTATTTTTTCATAAATAAAAGTATACCCTTAGTCTAAAATACATAAATTTAGTTCGCAAATGTATCTTTCCAATGCTTCCTGTTCAGGCCAACTTCATCACCTCATTCAATCTCAGTCAGTTTCTTCTAAAGTGCAGAAAAAGGCACGTTTGGTTAAAGATAGAAATATAGTACAGCACTAAGAAAACAAATGTTTAGTTTAAGACAGAAATTCTAGTAATAGCAAATGAGGATAAGCTCTTGTACATATTTATCATAGACAGTGAGCACATGAGAACAGTCGCACACATTGTCGAAAGCCAGTCTGTTCAGTTAAGATGATAAGGACACTAAAACCAAGAAGTCATTATGGAAATTGCAGAGTTTAGCTAAACAGAAGACGAGCTAATAATGTCAAGTCATACGCTACATAAAAGGCTACAGAATTCAAAGAAGAACCATATGGAACTTACAAAGGACAACGAGGGTACCCGTTTCTGCATGGAACAAATATCTGGTGATCATCATAGATGTCCAATCCCAACCAGGACGTTCCATGAATACCAATTATGAACTCATGGAGAAGCTTCGAAATGTTTTTTTCCTTCATTTTGTCCCACAATTAGACGATTTAATGTTTTTGTCTGTAACTGTTATCCAAACACAGTTTTATGGGCTACATTTAATCTGATCCAGACAGACATGAAACTTCTGGCTGTGTTGAGGTTTGTGTTGCAAAAGTGGATTTTAGTTTTCCTATATTCTCAGATTAAAAAAAAATGTTTTTGGAGTGGCCACAATGAGTCTAGCTTTAAATAAATCGTCAATGTTGCTGTGCTGCTCTGAGAGTTAACATACCTAGTTCTGTAAATAAGAGTGTCTATAAAAATTGCTTAAAAGTTATATTTTCTCTAATAAATTCTACAAAATATGTGAAATGTGCAATCATGGCATTCTAATTAAGACAGTTTTCTTTTTTAACATAATTTTGTTTTGATTTTTTATGCATCTCTTTCCACAACAGCATCTAAGATATAGTTTCGCATATTGGCAGCGGTCACAAGTAAAACAAAAATAAGAGTGTATCTTACTCTGCCTAACCATAGGAGATAGGTAGAAAGAGGTGTTTTAGATTTTAATGATAGACGTGCTGCAGAAGCCCTCAATACTGAGAATTCTCCTCAGGATATGTGAAAACTGTAAAGTAAACACCTGAGTATGGATTTGGCCCCAAGGAGACTCTTTCCCCTCCTATAAAAGGTTTCAATCATGTCAGCTAAGTTTGCACTCATACCTGGGGGGAGGGAGGTATAATGTGAGTTTGATATACCAGAGGAGTAAGTGTCTCGAATGTCTAGAAGCTCCAGCTAAGTATTTTGCTAGCACATTGTAAAGGAAGAAGGAGAAATATAAAACATAACCAGAAAATTAATAACATTTTGTGTGGTGGCCTGGAGTCCCATCTCATCAGAATGCGATCATGTGTTAGGCATGATAGGTAAATCACTGCTCGGGCAGCTGACATGGCCCATAAGAGCGGGGAGTGTAGTCCGGTATACAAGTAAGGTACACGTTTGACTATTCAGTCCCAGTGCCCTTCAACGTTCCCCTTATACCCTGCTGGCACAAACGTGCCTCTAAGTCAGGATAACTTCATCCTCTATGGGCCTGACCTTGGTGGGTGAAGATTAGCACATAAGGGACCTCGGAACTTAAAGGATATTCCTGAAGCAGAGGTGTTTTAAGAGTGGCCTCAAGGACCTGCGCCAGGTTAGGGAAGTCCATGTAAGACCCTGGAAAAGGAGCAGTGTGGAGCCCTTGAAGCAGATTGAGATTTTGCCCCTCACCGCAGCAAAGAGTAGGGCCTTGTTCTGCAGCATTTGGAAACGTATGATGAGGTCGGAGGTGGTGGCTGCATTAACAGGCTTCGAGTTTTAGAACATGCCATCAAGTTTCACTTGTTTGGCTTGGTTAGGCTGCAGTAACATTGTAAAAAGTCATTGGAGAACATATGGTAAGTCAGCAATCCCAAAGCCTCCAGTATGTTTTCACTCCCGAGTAGGTGCCAGCTCTCGGATCTAAAGAGAAGTACCCGAGGAGAATGAGGATCACTCCTCCAGAGATGCCATGTTGTCCTCTGCTGCCTGTTGTGCACTCTGCAGCAGGTCACCGATATCTCGGTTTGGGAGCCCTTTATTTGCTTTGGTTTGTTTTTGTTTTTTTCTTGACCCATTGTGTTCTAAGATTAGGGTATGCCAGTTGAGCTTAATCACATATGCCACCAACAAAAAAGTGTCTTTTTTAGGCGCTAGTATGAGCTCTCAGTTAGTGCATCTGTTGGCGTCCGTTGCTAGCTCTACCCCCCTTTTAATATATTTTTATGTTGTGAATGTTTACTACATCTTCAATGAACAGTGACAGTTTGGAATAACTTTTTTTTTCCTCATCATTAAACAGACAACTCATAAAATCAAATAAGTGACATTCTAAGCAATTATTAGACAACAGAGATACAGTAGATCAAGATAATCAAACACCAGACATCAGGAAACATAAAGATTTAACTACTTCAAACACAACCAAGAGGACTCTCTAACAGGAGGAGCAAAAAGGAGTTCACTTAACCAACCATCCCAATCCAGGAATAACCCGTGGAAACAGACCATTGTAATACATTCATACAATACTGGAACCTAGACAACAGGTTAAGAAACAGGAGTATGGTAACAATAAAATACATTTCTGTACACAATGACTTTATTGATATTTAATTAATAAAACCAGGAAATGAGGGGACAATTTGCAAAAATAGTGTTATGCTACAAACAACTCATGCAGAACTCATATTTGTGTATGTGTTCACACAGAGAATACAGAGTTCCCCTTTATATCGGTATCTCCAATTCCCATCGTAGAAAAACAAAAAGAATTAGCATTAATAAGGGGGATTTCCCAAATCATTTACATAATTAAAACGTGTTCTCTTTGTAGATGATTCATCCAGTACTAGTAAATCAGAAATTCACCCAGCAGATAAGAATTCTCATAGAGGGGATGGGGGCACCCCTTGTTCTCACTTTAGGTCATTAAAATCTAAAT